TTCTGGCTTCAGGCTCTTGTGACTGTGGCCTGGCCAATGTTGTTGAGTTGAGCTAATGAGACTTTGAGGGCTGGACTGCCTTTTCCACCTCTCTTTGATCGATGTGCTTCAGGCTGTAGCGACACCGTCAACACCAACACCGTCAACACCAACACCGTCAACACCAACACCGTCAACACCAACACCGTCAACACCAACACCGTCAACACCAACACCGTCAGCACCAGCGCCTCTAATCCGTGACCCACGGCCACCAGCAGACCTGCAAGCTGTACACAAGCACTTGGGCACAGCCAAATCTCTACAGCCACAAGTCAGCTTCACTTCGAGGTTGATTCATTTCAACCTCACTTACCCAACAACCACCGTCTGAACGCCACCACTTGGTGCAACACCAAACCCATGTCCTCCATCTGCTAACGTAGCATGTCAGTCTCCGGGAAGTGAAGATGGGAGAATTGAATTCAACTTACCTTGTGTTTCCCTCGCAAAACACGCGTCTGTCGTTCGGATCGTGTCGTGTCTCGTGGGGTTCGTTCGGTAGGTCAATCGGCTCGTGTCTCGGTTCGTTGTGGTGATCCGTGTTCGAGGTCGGCAAGGTCGAAGGGAGAGGGTGGGGACGCGTTCCTAGACTGCAGTCAGTTTGCTCTGTGAGCGATCCTCGAGCGGAATTCCTGTAGCCACGTCAGCACACTTTGAGACACAATGATATAACAGGGGGAAACCTGTAGACAAAGCCGGGGGAAGACTTGTCTTTCACCTCCCTTGAAGAATCTTGCGCAAGCGCAATCAACCTCAAGGGAAGTGTGATGGGGAATGGGAAAGGAAGAGAGAATCTGGAAGAGAAAGCGAAGGGTGAGGCGATCGAAATAGTCCAATTCGTTCTCGCCAAGAGAGGCAGAGAGGTTGGTAGAGAGGGTGAGGCAGAAGTCTATCGCCAAGTAGTATAGAGGGTGAGGTGGAAATCTTCTCGCCAAGTGAAGATAGACGTTGTGATCGGAGGACTCCAGGCAGTGACGAGGCTGCTGTCCGGATGAGACTTGAAGTTCGACTGCCCGGGGTCCATCATCGCCCAGCTTCACGGTTGCACTGCCTTCTCAAACTCTGCGTTGATTCTCGATCGAGACGGATGATCCCAAAGTCTTTGTACGCGCTTCTGCACCTAGCCCCTGATCCATTGACCAGCTGTACTTGATCAAAACAGAGTGTGGTCTCAACGGATCGCAACTTCAGTGGTTGTTCGTCGCTCTGAAGATGCTCTTCCTCATCAATGCGCCTGATCCCGTCATTGTCAGCCGTAGATCTGTCTCCTCCTTGCATTCCTCCTAATGTCGACCCCTGGCTAGGAACTTGATCTCAGGTGCAATAGGCGTCGTCCTCCTCGTAGAGTCTCTTGTGAAACAGCGTTGCGACCTTCTGTGGCCGATGCCACTCTCATCCTCCCCCAGCGCTCCAGACAGTCTATTCTATCTCAAGGACAATGATATCCTGCTCGTTCACCGCCTCTCCATCCATGATTCCATGTACATAGGACTCACCCACAAGCTGGTAATATCCGTCCGCCGTGGGCCGCAGCACCGTCGACACAGAGCTGCCCTCCACAACAGCAACGGCATCGCCCTTTTCAGTATGTTTCTAATAGCATCGGTAATGAACCGTGCCAATTCAAGGAACTGCTGAATTTCCCGAAAAAGAATGCGTTGGCCAGAGACATATTTTGAGCCTTCCAAGTGATTCTATCATATAGATTCCATCCAGTAGACCATCTGTCCCGCTTGTGGGAAATTTTTTGGAGAGTTCCTCAAGGATGATTTTGTCCGTGAGTTCGGCTCGTTTCAAGGAGTCCTTATCGAGGTCGATATCACTAGAGAACAAGTGGTCGGGTTCGAGAAAGAACTTGGAACTTTGAAGTTTAGTCTTGTCATACAAAAAATCGTAGCGCTCACAGATCTGCAGTCTCTTATCATCAGCCAGAGCAGTCTCAATCATATCTACAATAATGCCATGCAACCTCAAGATTCCGAGATTGCTCTGCTGCAGGCTCTGAGAAGGTTCCAGACCTTTTGCTGCTTCAACCTTGGGCACTACAGTAGTCATGATTGACTTGCTCGGTCCGACCTCCATTCCGCATTACTTCTCGGCCGGAGATGCAAATGGGTTTGGAGAGGTCGAGACTGGGCGCTGAGTGTCAGTAATTGTGGTATCCATTTGACTTTTCGCCAAACCCTTCTTTCCATGCATATAATATTCTGATGAGGAGTTCAAACAAAGGATTCCCTACCTCGCCGGATCCTCTGCAGCCCGAGCCGGCGGCGGACATGGGACTTGGCGAGCCGCGACCCCGTGATATCAACCCTGCGACTTTCCTGTCGTCACCACTTTCTCTCTCCTCGACTCAGCCATCCAGTCAGAACAATTAGAAGCCGGTCCCATGCAAACAATAGCAGCGTTTACAGCTAAAAGAAACGCGGAGGCGCGTGTTCTGTTGGTCAGAAGTTGCCGGGATGGGCACGTTGCCGGCATATCACAGCTTTCACTGGTCCACAGAAGCATATAACGTATCTGGGGTCAGTCATGATGATTTCATTGACACTGGCTGAAATAAATAACGTCTGGTGAACCTGGGCTTCAATGCTTCTGCAATGCCTCCTGCTTTGAGTTTCAGACGTTTGCTTGCAACAACCCCAAACTCGAAGAATCTGCTTCCCTGCTCTCCATCAGGGTACCTTTCTGTATATCGATTTCAGGCTCGAAATTTCTGCGTGACCGCACGTCTCAAGATGCCCGAAGGATTAGACCCCAAAGAAGTCGCCTCCGAGACCGACCCCTCGGTTGCAAAGCAATTCGACCGGGAGACTCCCAAAGCAGACCAGTGGAAAGAACTCTACGAGCTCATCGATGGCAAAAAGATCAGCATGCTGAACACTTACCGACAAGGAATTGGCCCCGTTGGCCGCGCGATGGGTATTGTCCAACGTTCTGGACCGGACATCTTGTACCTGGCGAACAAGCACTCGAAGAAATTTCAAGATCTCGAAAAGAATAAGGAAGTCCAGATTACCATCCAAGACAGCAAGACACAGGACTGGATTTCCATCAGTGGCACCGCCACGACAACCAGCAACGACGATCCTAGAATCAAGGAGTTGTACAGCTCAGAAATTAGTGCGTGGTTCGGGGATTTGAAGGACGGTGTCCACGACGGGACATGGAAGGATCCCCGAATGAGCCTGATCGAGGTTCAAAGCAAGTATATCGTGTACTGGAAGAAGGAGGTCTCGAGCCTGGGATTTTTGAAGGAGGTTGGAACTGCAGCCTTTACCGGTGGTGTGGCTCAGGTCGGGGTCCATCGAGAGTTGACAGAGGAGGACATTCAGAAAGAGCGTGTTTGAAGGGCTCATGGACCGAAATGGACACTCCTCGGGCGTGAGTGGCATTGATCTGTACGAGGTACTCGGTAGGGAGGACTGACTTCGCACCTAGTTGTTCGGTCGAAATAGGGGTAACATATATATGTGTGCCGGTGAAGGACGGGTCAGAGCCATGGCTTGTTAGAATGATTTATTGTGTCTTTTACTATTGATCCACGTGCTCCGAAGGCTGGCGTAGGATAGACCAGAAGAGACGCGGGCTGGAACGATCTTCACCCCCTTCACCGCCCTTGTTGGGCGTCGAGGCGTGTTCAGGGGGTCGAGGTGGGAATTGGGTCAACGTGAATTGAGTGACTCGGCCAGAAGCGGCTTAGTGCCTTGGCCAATCATATGGGCGGCGACGCTTTGGCGGTGAAAAGCAGAAAAGTGACCCCGTGGCCTCAGCTGCAGTTCAATCAGCCCTTTCGACACCCCCAACCCGAGATACATTTTGTTGCTTAACTTCTTGTTCGTACGTCGCTTACTGCGTATTCAACTCGACCCATCAACCTCAAACCGCTCCCTTTGACCAGTCGAGGATGCTGAGAGTTCCCTCTCGCCAAAAGCCCACAGGGGCGCAGGCTGTCACCAAGGCCGTCATTCTGGTGAGACCAGCGAATCAAAGATTGACAGAAGAACTCTACTGAATGGAAACAGGTTGGAGGTCCTTCGCGAGGAACACGTTTCCGACCACTGAGTCTCGACGTCCCAAAGGTAAGGTCACGGTTCGTTCGACCTGAGACTCAATGGTGAACTGACGGGACCAACCTGCAGCCTCTCTTCGATGTTGCGGGCCATCCCATTATCTGGCACTGTCTGAAGGCCGTCTCCAAAGTCCCCGACATCAAGGAGGTCATTCTCATTGGCTACTACGAAGAAAATGTCTTCCGTGACTTCATCAAGGACTCGTCCCGAGAATTCCCCCAGTTCAAGATCCAGTACCTGCGCGAGTATCAGGCGCTTGGCACTGCCGGCGGTCTGTACCACTTTCGTGATGCCATCCTGAAGGGCAAGCCCGACAGGTTCTTCGTGTTGAACTCGGATGTCTGCTGCTCTTTCCCCCTCGAGGCCATGTTGAAGCTCTTCGAGGAAAAGGATGCTGAGGCCGTCATTCTGGGCACTCGTATCAGCAACGACGCCGCTACCAACTTTGGTTGCATTGTCTCCGACGCCCACACGAAACGAGTCCTTCACTACGTCGAAAAGCCAGAGAGCCACATCTCCAATTTGATCAACTGCGGTGTGTACCTCTTCGCAACCGACGCCATCTTCCCCTCCATCAAGAGCGCCATCAAGCGTAAGACTGAGCGCCCCCGGATGATTTCCTACCCTTCGTCAGAAAACCTCGACTCGTCCTTCATGGCCGACCCCGAGGAAGACGGAGAGAGGAATGAGGTTATGCGGCTCGAGCAGGACATTCTACCTGATCTGGCCGACAGCAACCGCTTTTTCGTCCATGAAACCAAAGATTTCTGGCGTCAGATCAAGACGGCTGGTTCTGCAGTCCCCGCCAACGCTTTGTACCTGCAGAAAGCTTTCCAGTCGCAATCAGAAGAGATTGCTACACCATCCGCCAACATCGTTCCCCCAGTCTTCATTCACCCTACTGCCCAAGTCGACCCTACCGCGAAGTTGGGGCCGAATGTATCCATTGGTCCCAAAGCCATCATCGGCGCCGGCGCGCGTGTCAAGGAGGCCATCGTCCTCGACGAGGCAGAGATCAAGCACGATGCCTGCGTTCTCTATGCGATCATCGGCTGGAACAGTCGTGTCGGAGCCTGGGCTAGAGTGGAAGGCACGGCCACACCTGTCACCAACCACAGCACCACCATCATCAAGAACGGGGTCAAAGTCCAGAGTATCACTATTCTTGGCAAGGAGTGTGGTGTGGGAGATGAAGTCCGGGTTCAAAACTGCATCTGCCTGCCGTACAAGGAGTTGAAGCGTGACGTTGCCAACGAGGTCATCATGTAACCTGGTCTGCGACTGTGACATTCCGAAGAAATAGAGGACGGTGCAGAAGCGGGTTAATTTTATGAGAGGAACGGGCCATAGAGAAAAGGACCAGATTGTGTTATTAGGCATCCGTCCACAGATTCCAAGGGACTTTATGATGGGTTTTCCAGACGCGAAATAATGTACCAGTGCTCCAGCACAAGATTCCCTCCCATGATTGGTTCCTGTCTCCGTCCAGCACGCAATTCGTCTTGAAACTGAGGTGAATAGTAAGCGCCTAGGGCTACGTCCAAAACAGGGAATGCAAGGTCATATAAGCATCCTTGACTCCTTCCTCTCCAATATATCTGTTGTTTTCAGTCATGCTCTCATATCTTCTCGAATGTCTATGGAACACAATCGGTGAGTTTGTTGGACCTCGGCACAGTCGTTCGCAAGAATATGTTCTGGACAATGACACAGCTTCGGGCGCCTGAAGTTCGTCAGCACCTGGAAGGCCTTGCTGTAAACGCAATCGACAGAACTCATTGGGACGACATGAACACGTAGGTAGGGCAAATGAGCTCAGTGAGCAAGGCAATGTTCACAGACAGGGAAACGAACACGCTGGCAATACGGGGTACGAGCTTCTCGGACCAAAGTTTGCCCGGGCCTCCCTCGGATGGATACAAACATCCGAGATGAAGCTCTCGTCAATCGATTGTTGCCTTGTTTGACGGGACAGCTAGTTTCCTTTTCAACAGCTTGATTCTTCCATTTTCTGCAAGCTGGTCATTGCCAGAGTTCGATCGACTTGTTCTGGCACGTCTCAACGGCTACGCGTTGAAGAAGAAAGCGCGAATCCAAAATGGTGTACACGCTTACAGTTCCTGATCGCTACGGGTGAGTTCCAGCACAACACTCAAATTCTTCTAGCTGCGGGACGAGCTGACTGACGGCGACTCGAAGCTATGTCGTCCTCGTCGCTCTCGGGGCGATTCCGTTCCTCTCCTGGATGCAAGGCAACGTCGTAACCATACTCCGCAAGCCAGCTGGCGTCGCTTACCCGAACGCCTACGCCTCGCACGAGAAGGCCAAAGAGAGCCAAGCCGCCTACAAATTCAACTGCGCCCAGAGATCGCACGGCAACTTGCTCGAGAACATGCCGCAGACCATGGCGTTTTTGTTGTTTGCGGGCTTGGAGTACCCCACGGCTACGGCGGCTTTGGGGGTTGCCTGGGTGGCCTTTCGGGCTGCCTATGCTTATGGCTACATCCAGAGCCAGCAGAAAGGTGGACGTGGCAGGTTTTTGGGGTCACCCGTTTGGTTGGTGCAAGGTGGACTCTGGGCCTTGTGCGTGTCGACGGCTCTGAAGATGCTTTGAGGCAGTCATGTTTCCCTTTCTCCTTAGTATTGTGACCAAGAAGTACGGGAATGGGGGCAGATTTAATGGCCCAAGACGGAGAGACGGTATTGCGGGAAGTGTAGAATGAGACGAGCAACCCTCAGCAAAGCATTGCGTAAACAGGTTCGCCTAGTATCCCCTTGCCTACTAGGTAGTATCCCCCTCGCCCTCTTCTCACTCGTGCCCCTCGCCAGAACAGGACAACGCGAGTCAGTGAAGCACACGACCCCACACTAATTGAGTCATTTTTCAGGACATTTTATTTTGTGACTCTTCAACCCAGGCCTTCCATTGCGATCGTATTGACATTTATAAGTCATAACATTGCCCCTCAGCCTGCTGACACCTTCATCATGGCGGACGCCACTGAGTCTGTAACGCAAGACACCGCCAATCTCCACCTCGACGAGGTCACCGGCGAGAGAGTGTCCAAGTCAGAATTGAAGAAGAGACAGAAGCAAAGACAACTCGAGGAGAAAAAGAAGGAAAAGGCCGCCTCTGCCGCTGCGGCCGCGCCGCTCCAAGTCGAGAAGAAAGCCATGAAGGCGGAACTCGACGAGAGCAATCTCAACCCGAACCAGTACTTTGAAATCCGAAGCGGGCGCATCAACCGGCTGCGAGAGACCAAGGACCCCAACCCCTACCCTCACAAATTCTCGGTTAATACGGATCTGAGCAAGTTCGTCCAGGAATATGCCGACCTCAAGCCCGGCGAGCAGAAGAAGGAGGTGGAAATACGGGTCGCAGGTAGGGTGTATGTCAAGCGATCCGCGGGTGCGAAGCTGGTCTTCTACGACATCCGAAGCGGCGGCACCAAGGTCCAAATAATGTGTCAGGCGCAAGAAGCTGCCGGAGACGTCGCCTTCGAGGCGCAGCACGAGCACCTGCGGAGAGGAGACATCATCGGAGTGATAGGATACCCCGGAAGAACGTCACCCAAGAACCGGCCCAACGAAGGGGAACTGTCCGTGTTTGCACGTCAAGTCATCCTCCTCACCCCCTGTCTGCACCAAATCCCCTCGGAACACTTCGGTCTGCAGGACGTCGAAACCCGCTTCCGCCAACGGTACCTCGACCTGATCATGAACGACAAGTCGCGCAACATCCTCCTGACCCGGGCCAGGATCGTCTCCTACATCCGGCGCTACTTCGACTCCAACGGCTTCGTCGAGGTGGAAACACCCATGATGAACTCGATCGCGGGCGGGGCCACGGCCAAGCCGTTCAAGACGCACATCAACGAGTACCAGACGGACATGTTCATGCGCATTGCCCCGGAGCTGTTTCTCAAGATGCTGGTCGTCGGGGGGATCGAACGGGTGTACGAGCTGGGGAAACAATTCCGCAACGAGGGCGCCGACCTGACGCACAACCCGGAGTTTACTACCTGCGAGTTCTACGAGGCCTACGCCGACGTCTACGACGTGATGGACCGCACCGAAGAGCTCGTCTCGGGACTCGTCAAGGAAATCACGGGCGGGTACCACACGACCTTCCACACGCAGACGGGCGAAGTGTATCAAGTCAACTGGTCGCGGCCGTGGAAGCGCATCGACATGATCCCCGCGCTCGAGGAAGCCACAGGCGAGAAGTTCCCACGGGGCGACCAACTCCACACGACCGAGACCAACGAGTTCCTCAAGCGCGTCCTGAAAAAGTGCAACGTGACCTGCCCGCCTCCCGAAACCAACGCGCGCATGCTCGACAAGCTCGTCGGCGAATTCATCGAAGAAACCTGCATCAACCCGACTTTTATCACCGGCCACCCCCAAATCATGTCCCCCTTGGCCAAATACCACCGCTCGTCCCCCGGCATCTGCGAACGCTTCGAGGCCTTTGTATGCAAGAAGGAAATCGTCAACGCGTACACCGAATTGAACGACCCCTTCGACCAACGGCTCCGCTTCGAGGAACAAGCACGCCAAAAGGCCCAGGGAGACGACGAGGCGCAGATGATCGACGAGAATTTCTGCACTTCGCTCGAGTTCGGCCTCCCACCCACGGGTGGCTGGGGCATGGGCATTGACAGGATGGTCATGTTCCTCACGGACAACTACACCATTCGCGAGGTCCTGGCTTTCCCCTTCATGAAGGAGGAGAAGACTCCGCAGGGCGGGAAGGACGGCGCTGTCGCCGGCGAGGTCGTCGCCACTAGACCGGCCCCTTGAGTCTGTTGCTGCCGCCGCCGCCGCCGCTGCCGCTGGTGCTTTGCTGGCTTTTATCCCAAAATCGTCTGTGATGAGCTACCATGCCCGTGAATTTTTCCCTCTTTCTTGAGAGTATGTCTGTCGGAGAGGGGTGGGTGGGTGTGTGTGTGTATGTATGGGCTTACGCTGATGTTCCACGAAACCAAAGAGATACACACGAGACGAACAAGATACCTATGCTGTGGATCCAAGAAAGGATAGAAAATGTGGCGCATGCAAGTAGATGAATGCTTCGTCTGACTGACGAAAGAAGAGATACCATCCATGTTTGGTACCAATGACGCAAGAACAATCCAATTTCAAGCAGAGCACTCGGTACTTCATTAGAATGCTTCGCCAACTACGTACAACTACTTATTAGTTGGGTCTGTTGGGGCTACCATATCCTCTTCGCCACCATCTCGTACCGTCTGACTTTGTCAAAACTCTCGACTCCATTCCCCCTTTCCTTGTTCTTCTTGTCCTTCTCCTCCCTCTCACGCAATGCCTTGAGACCGGCGGGATCATCCTCATAGATCCATCTGCGTTTATCGTCGTCGACTTCAACTACGCCCCACCCGCCGACGCGCCGGCCGCCGTCAACGTGGTAAATGGGGTTTCTCTCGCGCAGCTTCATCGACCGGTATCGAGATCTCGCAAAAGCAAGCAAAAGCATTCCCAGTACGAGCTTGCAGGCCAGGAGGATCAGGAAGAAGAGAAGGAATAACAGGATGGTCGTCATGTGAGTGACGACGCTGGAGCTGGTGATGGCCACGGGAATGGCTCTGATGATGTCGTCGACGGTTTTGGAAATCGCCGTGCTCGTGGTCATGGGCATGTTTGAACGGGCCGCAGAGTAATGCTCGTGGATACTGGCCAGGCTGGTTGATGAGCTTGGCGAACTCGAGGGCACCCAGGCGGCCATGAACATCTGGTATGTTTGCACGGTGGCTCGGATTAAGAGACAGCTCAAAGGGATGACCGGCAACCCCAACCGCTTGGTGAGATTTTGGTCGCCGAAAGCGTTTGTGTAATAATCCTTTGCTAAAACATCCAGAAATCGGTCGTATATTGCCGGGCGGGTGTTGTTAAACTTGTTGATGTAGGCATGTTTGAGCCAATCAACCAACATTTCAGACCCAAGGACTGCCAGAAACGGCCCGAGCACCTGACTGACAGCTGGCGCGTACGAAGTTATCGTATTGACTGCTGCCGGTAACAGAGTGAATGACTTTGGAAGGATCGAGCTAACCGACTTCGGAGGAAGAGCGCTGGTAAAAGGAATGCTGCTATTCGTAGTCAGTGGAGGCGCCGCTGTTGCAGTTGATGCTCTGGCGAAAGCACTCAACCCTGCACTTAACCCTCCAGTTTCCACGATGTTCCGGGATGCAATAATGACCAGCATGTGCCAAAGCTGGAAGCGTTCAACGACGTCGGCACAAGTCAACTGAAAAAGGTTCTCCTTCTCAAACTTTTTGAAGACGGTGGACTTGATCTCCACAAACTGGTTTGACAACAGTAGCGTGATGAGGGCGTTCGAGTATGAGTTGACAGCCACGTTGAGCGTGATGACTTGATAGAACAGAGCTGTAGAATGAATAACAGTGTAGGTGAGTGCCAGGACGAACAGCCAGAATGGCCGAAGAACTTTGCTATGGCCATCTGGCTTGCGTTCGAGGGCTTCCTTGGAGAACAGACATTCGAGAACATCCTGTCCTATTGCGGAGAAGAGCCGATCGCAGACCTCCAGAAGGTTGTAAATGACATACAGCTTGATGGCGGCTTGACCACGAATCCAATGGTACATCCGGCTAGCATCAAGCCTGAGAAGGATAACGCATGTGCAAATGATCAGCAGCCCCTTAAGCATGTCCGCTTTGTCATCGGGAAGCAATGCAGATGGCACCGACTTTATTCTCTGATGGTGTCTGCCATTCCTGCGATTTTGTGCCGCGATAGCTTGAGCAGTTTTGCTTTCGCTGGCATCAGAACTCGACGCTTTTCGCGTAGAGACCGACACAAGACTGCTCCTCCGTCTTCTCCACATTCTTCCGGTCCCGTTGTAGACAAAATTGAAGACAAAATGCACCTCCCTCATGAGGTTGATGCACCAAGATTTGGCTAGGATGTAAAAGGATTTGAGGAGCCTAAGCGGAAGAATGGTGAAAGTATAGAGCCATGAATCGAGACATGCAAGAGTCCCGAAACACAGGACGCTCTCGAGATACATGGGAAGCAGCAAGAAGTTCATCAGTCTTTCGACCTTGGCTCGTGAAGACTCATACGGAAAGTCGCTGTTAGCGGACCTGTGGATGTACAATTGGGAAGGTCGTTGTGAGGACAGTTCAAGCTGGAGATATGTCGGGATTGACAAAGGCGGCAATGGAATCGATGCAGGCATAGGGGACGGGAGAGGTCGTCCTGAAGACGAATGTCTTCTTCCTCCAGTTCCATCAACCTTAGCGCCGGTCTCAGGAATCTTGAGAGTTGGTCGTGAGGCGATCCTATCTTGCCTCTGAGGAGACTGAGGGCTCTTGAGGGAACTGGGAGTAGATAGAGCCCGTTGTGGGAGATTGGGCCTCGGTGAAGGACTGCCTGTAGGTTGCAGCAGGTGGTTGCTGGTCTCGATAGTGAGGTTACGACTTCTTCGTGTCTCTGACGTCTCCGATTGCCTAGATGTGCTTGGTTCTGCCTTCGGAGTGGAACTGAAGACATCTTCATAGGGAGATTCAGGAGATTTGTCAGTGACGGGCAGGAGCGTGTGAGGGCTCAGCTCATCGCTCGAGACTGGTGTCGTTATTTGCGAATCCTCAGGACGAACATGAAGAGAGTCAACAGCAGGTGGCAGGCTGTGCAATTGATCCGGCGATGGCTTGTACACTATTCCCCCATTTTGTTCGACTTCCAATCCGTATCGACGTTCTGCGATATGCCTCGAAACCAATGGACGTAAGTCTGTACTGGGAGGGAGCGAACAAGCCTCGTCTTTTGTCTCGCCGTTTGGCAACATGGTTGTGGATGTAGACCCTCCCGCCGCATGAACATGACCCATGTCGACAAACCCATTGGTGATGTTCTCAAGTCCATTTTGTATTTCAAGACCATTGCTTAGACCCTCATCTAGTCGAAATTGTGTATTATCCGACTCGGATGAACTGTTGTTCTGTCTCGGCGGCGCCCCATCTTGAACATTCTTTCGACCTGTGGGCGAACGGACCGGCGATGGGGAGTTCTGAGAATCAGGAGGTGTAAGTGGTTCTTGGTCGGCGAAGCGATAGTGGTCACCATTCACGACGGCTGCGACAGTTGGGCCTTCCATGATGAACGGGGGAGGGAGACGTGGCAGATACACAGCCGGCCATGCTGCTGTGCCCGTGAAAACAGCAAGATCGCAACGTCTTCAACTGGTCGCAGGTGCAGTGAGGCGAAATGTCTAGACTGCCATTTCTGCGTGTGTGATGGCTGTCGGTGTGAAGTGAGAGAACAACCAGGCTGTCCTCCTGCGGCAGAGCATGTCGCCAAATAATTTAAGTCCGGCGTACCGAGCAGTAATTCCGGGACAACCACTGACCACTGACCACACGTGGCTTGTGGCTGCGTGGCTGCGCGGCTGCACAACGGGAACTTGGACGGCACAACGTCCAGGTGACGCCTTGACGATCATCTTGTCCCGCTATCTCTCGCAACATTTTGCAACATCTTTCAACAGTCTTGCCAACTTTTGCAGTCTATGACAATTACCACTATCTACGAAGCAGAGGGACAGTGCTGGTTCCAATATTGCCTCTTGAGAAGTTGATAGAACATCCACTGGCCTCCAGGATTGCTCTCTTTGGGTTTCCTGTAACGAGTCTCCTCCGAAGAGTCGGTTGAACGTCAGCGTTGGCGGTCACTGCCTTTCTCCCCCCGTCTATGACCAAAATGCTTCTTGCTGCAAAGCGCTAACAGCCTTCGAGTCTACTCAACGGCTATGTGAAGAACGTCGTCACGCTCTTTCAGAGGTTTGGGGAATAGTCCAGTCTGATGGATCAAGAACAGTTCAGCGGCTGGAGTCCCCCACGAGACGATCTCGACGGTCTGATCTCAGGTTACGATGCGTCTACTACCATGCCAGATGATGACAGGACCGCCTGGAGTGAACAGGGTACTGCAACATCCTCTTCTCACCCCTCACGCTATCTCGAGCCTTCTTCTCCAGGAATTGTCAGATCGCCCCTTCAACAGCCCACCAGCACAGTTCCCAGCTCTAGACCGCTCCCTCAGCGAAGGGTAGCTTCTTCCAACCAAATCCCTGGCTTGTCCTATGGAGAGCAGCCTACACCCGTCTCCTTCGAGCCTCCCCTTCGGTCAATCTTTGTATCGGGACCGCCTACTGCTTCCGTCTCTGCAAATACTGCTCTGGCATCTCTGAGCGCTGCAGTATCCTCGACCAATTCTGGCTCATTGGCGGCTTTGACAAGTGCTGGCGCAAGTATGCGTGGTATTGTAAAGGCTGGAGACGCCACGCCTTCCGCTTTACCCGCTGCCTCGAGCAGTCGACATCCTCTGCTCAATCCTGAAAAGGATGTAGATGACCCCACGACGAGCACAGCCACCAACATTTTTGAGCCGGATTCTGTCAACACCTCCACGACCCTTGCCCGCCTGTTCATAACAAGCGACACAACAAGTCCTGATCCCGCATCCAGAGTCCATTCCCACCTTCGAACCGTGTCCAGTGCCAGCCGAAGTATAGGTGGCTCGGCGACACTCACTGGTCATCTCTTCCATCATGGATTCGAGGAAGGCCGTCACTCAGATATTACTGTGTATGCTTTTGGTCAGAGTTACAGACTTCACAAACTGCTCCTCGATCGTGTTCCTTACTTTTCGTCTGCATTCTCGGGCTCTTGGGCAGAGAGTACAGCGCGAGAGATGAGAATCCCTTGCGAAGACCTCGACCCCAACATCACCAAAAACGCTTTCGAGCTTGCCCTGAAGAGAATCTACGGAACACAGTTTCCGGTGCAGGAAGAGGAAGAAGCCATTGGCCTGTTCGCAACAGCATGTTGGCTTGACATGCCTGACCTAGTAGACTCCTGTGTCGATTCGATCCTTCGACAGATGCAGCCAGCTACCCTTCACAGCTTGATTAAGCTAGTAACTAACAATTACTATGGCAAAGCCGGGGACCGTGTCCTCGCTTCCGCGAAAGCCATGCTTTGCAAAGAGGGTTGGGAGATGCCGTATGAGTACTGGGACGAAATCCCAGCTGAGATCATCCGCGAGATCGTCGGGGGGGACCCCTTCTTCGTCCCGAGCGAGTGGGAGAGGTGGTATCTCGCTTTAAAGCTATTGAATCGCCGACTGAGGGCCAAGGCCATCGAAGGAGGGCTAGTCTCCCCGAGTGGTCGATATCTCTACCCCAAACCAACAAGTCTGCGATTCTTTGCCGTGAGATTTGATGCACCTTACCGGATAACTGGACACAATCGGTACGTTTCTGAAAAGGACGAGGCCTGGGTTGCCTTGTACACATCCCCGGAAATCGCACCCCTACTCGTGCTGCTGGACGAAGGAATCCACTATGTTCATCTTCGCTTCGAACAATTGCAGCAGATCCGGACGCAGAAGGACATCCTTGGAGTTCCAGTACTCCCAGAAAAGGTCATAGCTGATGCTTTATGGATGTCGATGGAACTCCGACAGAAAGTTCTCAATGCCACTGAAACTGACGAAGCACTCGGGCTGAGCGAAGTAGCTGAAGACTTTGAAGAAGCCGAGGATCATGCCGAGCAAGCATCGATCCATAAGAAAGGAAAGTCACGAGATGATGGACCACCCAGCCCTAACGAAGTCCCTGCAGAGATGGAGTCTGGCTCCTGGGATGGCAACGGCAAGCCTCGGAAATTCTGGATTCCGAGTAACGATGTCTCGTGCGTGATGGGAGGCACTCGAGAAGCGTGTATAGCTGCCAACTCGACCAGCGTTGCGGAGTGGAGCACACATGCAGCCAGGTTATCAGCTAGCCTCGAGCCCACTGACGTGGCCTGGGCTCTCGACTTCACAAGTGGCAATGTAATCGACAGTGGCAGGCCTCCGTCTAGAGGCTATTCGCCAACGTCGGCGCCCCGTTTCAGCTATTACCCTCCATTCCGGTTTTCAGCGGAGTTCCCCAGCCCACGGACACTCAAAGAGAAGAAGCGGGTCTATTCACACACTGTTTGGTATGCAGGGAGTCTGTGGAACCTCTACATCCAGCGCGTCAACAATTCCAAGGTCCAACAGTTGGGTATATACTTGCACAGAGCCAAGGATAAAGATCCGTGCGAGGACCCTCTTGCCCTGTGGATGTCTTCCACTGTGGACGATCGCATCGGGCAGCTGGAGCGGGAGATGCTGCTCCGAAAGAACGAACGGCGAAACCGGAGTTGGCACGTCAATGAGCCCGTCCGTGGGTCGTCGGCAGTGGAGCAGGAGGATGCATCGGCCGAGTCGACACAGGAGTACGACAGTTCAAATCCGCAGATGACGGAAGGCGACAGGACGACTTTGCGACGGCGGCGGACGGCGGCAAAGGCGTCGGTACAGAAGACGTCACAAAATGCCGAAACAACTGCAGGAAGGCTGTCGTCCACCGACACTCCCACCTCTCCCCCAGACAACCACGCCCTGATGCTAGACTCGGACGAGGAAGACGCAGAGTTGTTGCGGACAAACAGGAAATACAACGTCTCTGCCATGCCGCCTTACATGGACGGGCGTCCGACCATCCGGACCTATTTCAAGATCTACTCACCGAGCAAAGGCGGGCGACTTTTGAGCATTTACGAGAGCGCGCCGGACAAGTTCGACGTCAGCAAGAGTTGGGGGTGGAAGAGCAGCCAGATGCAGCTCGACGATGGGATTGGGATCGGCGGCGGATTAAGTGATACACAGACAAAGTCTAGCAAGGACGGGAAGTTGAGGTATATGGTTGTCATTGGCAACATCTAAGCCCTCTCTCGGAGGGAAGCGTTTTGCATTTTCATGGATTTTCACGCAGTGTCTGTCAAAGAATTACGAGGTTATGGGATTTGTTGGGATTTGTTTAACAAAGCAAAGAAGCGTGCGTCTAGTCTAGCAAGCTGTGACTACGGGCCCTTAGCCATGGCCCCTTTTGATTCCCCTACTTCATATACGAACAATACTTTTTTTCCGGGACAAGCATCAAAGTGTCTATCCATTCGCTCACTGAGGACCTCGTACTAGTGCTCACAACCACTTGATCAGCCAAGTTGACCGAAAGAGGGCTATCGTGGCCGTAATTATTAAGCCTTGCCTGGACGATGGTATGTGACAAGAAAGCTGAATATTGATTAATATATATCGGTCCTGACCACAATAGGCATTGTCGGGGACCAGGAAACAAGTAGGTAGATGCCTACGTCTTACTCGTATATATAAGAAGCGATGGTCCGAATGGCAAAAGGGGGACCCGACAACATGCGACGCTGACATATGATAATTATTATTCCCCCAACAAACAGCAACCTTCGCACGAGGGAGCGTCTTCGGGCACTGACAAAGCATGGAGTTATCCAAAATGTCAAGATCCGGAGTTCGATCTAAGTGGGTGGCGGGCGGGCTTACAGTACGAGTAAAACTGGGAGGCCTTTGATTCAAGGAGTTGGCCAGATAGCAAAAATTGTCAATCTGTTCGCGCCATGGGGTATTCCCCCCCTTTTCCCAGAAAGATACCGTTCCTCCCGAATACGGAGCGGTACCTCGTCCAAGCAGCCTTGAGAGTTGTTTTGCAGCTGAGGTCAAAGTGAGGTCAAATTATCTGCATCACCTGTGGCACGGCTCCAATCTCGGTGATGAAGGTTGGCGGTCGGGCCACGAGCTTGTCGTTCTTGCCGTGCGGGCTCGACTTCTCCAACCCGGCCCTCTGCGTCTCAGACAGGAAAAATTCGGCTATCCCAAGCCGATGATACACGCGGGCGTACTTCCAACGCTGATGACGCTGGCCAGATGGGAAGGTGGATCGCTCCAGCACCAAGGCATGGTAACGTGGTCGACCTTGGAAGTATATGGGGAAATCCAAGAAGACGCAGACGACGTCCCGCTCGCCAGAAGATCCAAGGCTCTCGGGTTCTTTGCAAACGTCCAAAAAGACGAGGCCTTGACATTCCGCATTGATCACCACCCACGCTTCCAGGGCCGATAGCTCTCGGACTAGCTGGACCTTCGGATGGTAGAGCTCAAGCTTGGCCTTGACAGCTGGTGCCCGCAAGAGGAGAGAGGCAGATTCGAGTTGACCAAAGATAGTATGCCCACTGCGGGGCTGGACTTGCACGTCGAGGATGGTGGAGATAGAAAACTGGCTTGTGCGAGGAAGAAACTTTATAGGTCCCTTCACGGAAGCCCAGGACCAACTTGGTGCAACAAAATCAACGGGCCGAGAGTGTGTGGGAGCTCTGGACTGCCTCAGCGCTGTCTCTGTAACGGCCGCCGAGCGAACCCGCGGTGGTGGCCTGAATGCATGATCCAACACGGCAGCTGAGGTTTGCGTGTCATATTCACTGGGCTCATTTGCAGACCTCCATAATAAGCATTCCGGGAAGGCACTCCCCCAGAGCCCAGCGAAGTAGAATTCCTGTTCCAATTCCTTAGGCTCCAGCCGTCGCTCCAGCTGCGTGGCCACAGCAGAGATGGCGAGCAGCCGATCGGTATCTTTTGTCAATTTACATGCCGAGTAAGTTGCGACAATCTGCTCCCACCATTCCCAGTTGGACTCCCGGGCCGACTTGGATATGAATGGGTTGGGGGTCCTTGGACGGTTAAATGTTTCTTTGAGGGTACGACACTTTTGGCCCACGATGGCATTGGTAGCATTTTTCATCCACCCGCATTCGCAATCTGACTCAGTCCTGCACTCCCACACAATTTCATCCGCGGTGAAATGCAGGATCCGGCTTGCAAGCAATCGCTCCTGGAAACACCACGCCCGCTCGAAGACAACGTTTCTGGCGACCATGATCTCTGAATTGGGTACGCGAATCATGCCGTTGTCGCCGTCCGGCACGAAGAATCGGTGGGAGACACCGATACATGATAAGTCATTGAGGAGAAGCTCTAGTCCATTGGAGACTTTGCGATACCGAGTGGGCAATCCGCGCGTCGGGTGAACTGGGATCTTCTTGGAGGGATGTCGGGGTTGCGCCAGAAATCCGGAGATGGTGTTGACAGCTGAGTCGGCGGAAATGACCAAGACGGCATTTTGGTAGATGTCGGGCATTTTCTGCAGTTGGACAAATAAATCATCGGTGTCTTGGATGATGCAAAGCGAGTCGATCCAGAGGTATTGGTAACCTAGGCCCTGCGCAACTCTGACTGCGTCCTGGAAGGTAGCTGGAACGTCCTCCCACGCAATTTGGCGCGGTCCGTCTTTCATGTTCACACTCGTGGTCATTATACTCTCAGTTGCCCCCCAACAGTAGCTCAGCGCGACATATGGTACTTGAAGGCCAGCGGACGAGACGACGCGGATCCTGGACCCGGGCGTTTCTCCGATGTCAACGAGGTGGTCCGGTAGCACTGTAGCTTGCGTAGGAGCACAATATCGCTGATGTTGAGCTCGGCACTCTTGTATCCACGTCTTGATCAAGGTTAGACACTCATGGTCCAATGCCGTCGGCTGGATTGAACGTCTCTTCGGCAAAAGCGTCCTGAGGAATGGCACGGAGTCGCCTGGAGAGATCGGTCAGAATCTGCTTGTTCATGCATCCCCCTCCTAGAGTCTCACGCTGAAGACTGATTTCAAAATCACCTATATGCAACCAGGGGAGCTGCAAGTCACGATCCAGGCAATCGCCACAGGCGGTGTCCAGATAATAGCATGGAAGACACGGGGGAGGCGTCACATTTTTTCGGTCGTGATCAGAAAGTCGCTCCCTGTCTATCGCGCCCACAGAAATGTGTCCGAGCGCAAGACGTTCACGAACGATCACGTACATATCTGGTAGCAGGTTGGAGGTTTGGGAGAGAGTTTCTTGCACCGCTCGGAGGAGGAGGGAGCACACCGCGCACTTTGAGGAAGTCTGCAATCGCGGCACAGATATCGCGAGGCCATGAAACATCAGGTAATTCCGCTCGTCCAGATCAAACTCGGGTCGTCCACTATCTGCCACACCGAGACAGGTATGGCACCTTCGAAAGAGGACGGAGAACATGGCTGGGGGCATCGAATTGCGAGCGCTCGCAACGGTATTCAACGACACCATGACTCAGGGAACCGCGACTTGTCAATCCCAGAAGCTCATTCTGAACAGCAGCATGGCGCAAAGTGGCAAGGGATGTGAATGCGCGTCTTCCCAGACCACTGGTAGCGCTTGACGAGAAATCATATCCAGCCTTGTGCTCGCGTGCCAACAGCTTGACATACCTTATACGAGGGCGGGGTGTCGTTGCGGGAAAACGATGTTGCGATGTTTTTTGTTCGAGGAGCCTCGCACCTCGCCAGCCACCGAGCCACCCAGCCAGGCATTGGTGTCTGACAGAAACATGCTCCCATTGCCCATTGGCGGCTGGGCGGTCCAATCTCCTAAATCGATAGTGGATAATAGGCGCTGTGACTACCTATTGTAGGCACGGTCAGACTGCCTAAATGCCGCTCACCCAGCCACCCAGCCACCCAGCCAGCTGGAGAGTCTTCATGCTCAGTCATCGCTCGTACATTTATTTTACTCAGCGTCTCCAACTCGCAGCACCACCACATCGAATACCGAGTAAAGACCGTACCACAAACCTTGGAAATCAAGCCGTTTCTGGGAAGGCGCTACGTCAATCCCATGGCAAAGACCACCGTGGACGGACTTGATGTCCGCTCGTACGCTTCCCGAGTGGTCTTTTGGTGCCGCCTCGGAGCTGGAGAGTCTTATCGCCTTTTTTTTCCACTGAGAGCTGTGGCTCCCAACTCCGAGTACGATGTCCGTGGATGTTCGTGGATGTTCTTTTTGGCTTGCGCCATCCGTCCATGTCATTGTCAACGATCGCGGCAACGTTTTGACGTGGTGAGTAACGCTGATTGGAGGACTCGGCAGTTGATTTCAAAGCCCCATTTACAGGTGGAAGAGTTCCTCCGAGCCCCCAGGTCGAGAGACGAGGCGTGAAGAAAACTCGGGAGGCCTCAAATACCTGCATATAAATCTTCCAAATGGTATTCAAGGTCCATCAACCTTTTCTTCTTCACCTCATCAAATCCCCAGTCAGATTCACATTGCCTGTCCACATTTCCCACACATTAACACGATCTCTCCACCCTCCCAAACGTTTTTCTCATACATTCCCAATGGATTCCCATGATGCAAAGCCTCTCATTATCAACAAGGGAGCCCCGGGTATCTCATACTTCACACCCGCTCAATCGCCTCCATCAGGCTCAGCCAAGAATCCTCAGTCTGATGGCAGTCCAATTCCCAAGCTCTTCCAACCTCTGACCATTCGCGGAGTTACTTTCCAGAACCGAATTTTTCTGTCGCCCCTGTGCCAGTATTCCGCCCAGAATGGCTATCTGACTGACTGGCATGTTACTCACCTTGGCGGCATAATTCAGCGAGGGCCTGGCCTCTCGTTTGTCGAAGCAACAGCAATCACTCCCGAAGGTCGGATCACCCCCGAAGACAGTGGGCTTTGGGAAGATGGCCAAATGGGGCCTTTGAAGAGGATAGTCGAGTTTGCTCACAGCCAGAACCAGAAGATCGGTATCCAGCTGGGCCACGCCGGTCGCAAGGCCAGCACCGTTGCTCCTTGGCTGAGTCGGGGTGATACTGCTCAGAAGGAAGCTGGCGGCTGGCCCACTGAGACGTTTGCCCCGAGCGCCATTGCCTTCCAGGACACCTACCCTGATCCTCATGCTCTCACGCTGGAAGGCATTCAAAGAATCAAGAACGCCTTTGTGGACGCTGTCAAGAGAGCCGTCAAAGTTGGGTTCGACGTCATCGAGATTCACGGCGCCCATGGCTATCTCGTTCATGAGTTCCTCAGCCCGGTCAGCAACAAGCGAACCGATCAATACGGCGGATCCTTTGAGAACCGGACACGATTGGCCCGGGAACTCGTCGAGGCCACACGGGCTGTCATTCCCAAGGACATGCCTCTCTTTTTCCGCATCAGCGCCGATGACTGGCTAAAGGGTCAAGACGAATTCCCCGAGAGCTGGACCGTCGAGGAGACAGCCAAGCTGGCTCCAATTTTGGCCGAGTTGGGTGTGGACCTTCTCGATACCAGTTCAGGCGGCATCCACCCTTCTCAACAGATCAAAGGTGGACCAGGCTATCAAGCTCCATTTGCACTGGCGGTGAAGAAGGAGGTGGGTGATTCTTTGCTTGTCGGAACTGTTGGGTCCATCACAACCGGAACTCAGGCACAAGAACTTCTCGACCAAGGCCTGGACACCACTTTTGTTGGACGATACTTCCAGAAGAACCCCGGCCTTGTTTGGACTTTCGCAGAGGACCTTGGTGTCGAGATTCATGTTGCAAATCAGATATCGTGGGGCTTTCACGGCCGAGCGGGAGGTATCAAAGGCAAGGAGGAGCACAAATCGGCTCGGTAAAATCAGGTATCAGTCAGAGTGGCGGTCCATTGAAGCGAAGGCGTCTCGGAGGTGTCTGCGTCTGTCACAGGCGCGTAGAAGAGAAACATATGTCTGCAGGACGGTAGCTTTGTTCAAATAGAATTGTTGTTCATACACGTCTCCACGAACTCCAGGTCGTGGCCTGTACGAGGTACGCACCAAGAACAGTATCCAACAGCTGCTGCGGAGATTGTCTGTCTCCATTCGAGGCTAGAGAGTGATGCAAAGTTTAGAGATCTCGCAAGCATAACGCTCGCACTGCACTTAGGTGAGCGGGTTCCTGCATGAGCACGATCGCCCAGGGGCTTTTGATTTTGAGGGCGAATCAGCAGAGCTCAAAGGTCAAGGACGCGTGTTTGAGGATGGCCCACAGGGGCGCAGGAATGGCAGAGGATTAGCCTCACTAGCCAGATCGAGGCCTCCAAGACACCTAGCGCAGTTTGATGTTTTGGGGGGCGGGTAAGCAAAGGGCCCCCGACACGCACCAGGCACGCACCTGGATGGCACCGGCACCGAGGCCTGCAGCAGCTCCTTGTTCCATCTTGTAGTACCAGGCCTTCTGCAGTCGTTCTGCCGCACCCTCTCCTCGTCTTCAAGCTTCTTCGTCCTATTCACCGACCCGCCGTTCATTCACTTCAGGTTTCCTGATTCAATCCATTCCTTAGCATTCTCGTATCAAGTCTCTCGTTCAGAATACACGTCCTGATTTGTGTCATTGTTCTCCTGTTCCACTCTCGACCCACGTTCGTTCTTTTTGTTTTCCCAGCCTCCCCTTGTCTCGTCCTTGCTGCACGCTTTGTCCACCTTGACGGACGACGAGCAAGCCAGCAGGTTGTCAATCGCTACCGATACCTCTCTTCTACGCTCAGCCGTAATACCTCTCCTCCTTCCACGGCGGAGCAAGTTGGTCTCAGGATATCGAGACGAGGCGGTTGCAGTCACGATTTTGTTGACAGCCGGATCTTGACAGCGATGCGATAAAGGCATTACAACACAAAGGTTTCGATCTCCGAGGCAATTGAGCTGGACTCTTGTTACCTGGCCTTCGGCTGTGCCGCGCCTGAGACAACAAGGTACAACCACCTCAGAAATAGAATTCCCGACCACCCACGTTCGGCTGCCCCCTCCCACGAAGTATTGATAAGCCGCTGCCAGGTCGCAGCGCCTTGAACGATCTTTACACAAAACAAATACCATATCCGCCATGGGATGTTGCGGAGGCGAACGAGAAAAGTTCGGGAACTTGAGTGCTGAGCAGAAATGGGACTACATTGTAGGCATCACCTCTGCTAGAAGATACCAAAATGAACTGACGCGTGTCGCAGAACCTTGATGATTTCAAATCTTCCTCATGCTGGACACCTTTTGCCTATGGCTATCTTCTGCTGATGCTCGTTGTATCAATATCCGTCTATGCGGTAGACACATTTACCGCCATCAACCTCCTCGCTTTCGATAGATGGGCTGGTCAAATAAAACCCGAGATCCCACTCAACATCTCTCGATGGATCTTTGCCGGATGTATCATTCTATCCTTCGTTCTACTCGTCTACCGATGGATGAGGGCAGTCAGAGTTATGAAACAGGGCGGAGTCGCAAAAAACTACTTGGACCCTTTGGCTGTGCGGGTACAGTCGATACGCTGGGGAAAGGCAAGGGGATGGAAACGTTTCTTGGTCTTCGCCGAGTTGACAAAGAGTCGGAAAGGAGCTGACTACGTCGCCTTGTTCGCCTATTTCTCTTTCGAAGCTTGGCTTCGTATCGTCTTTGCGGAAGGGCCGCGACAAGTGGTCAACGCCATAACGCTGTATTCCGTGTTGAGGTTGAAGTTGGTCCCAGAGGGTCAAAATGCTCCATCGGATGGCCACTCTCCGGTCGTCCAGTTCTTCGTCAATGTTGGGATCCTGGCCGATTCCAATCATCTGCAGGCCGTCATTCTATTCGGCATGCTGTGGACTCTGGTCATCTGGGTCATCTCGGTCATCAGTCTCATCATTTCGGTCATTCTCTACCTCGTCTTCCTCTGGCACCATATTCCTAGCGAGGATGGAGGTCTGACCGGATATTGCCGTAACAAGATTAATCGACGGATGGAGAGAGTTGTCAAGATCAAGGTTGACAAGGCGCTGAAGAAAGAGAACGCACTGCGAGCTCGAGCAGAGGCTAGGGCGGCTCGTGAAGGAACAGATATCAAGAAGCAACCGACCCTGCCAAATATCGTCGATGAGGACTCGCTTCCTCCGCTGTCAAGACAGACGACGATGACAACCCTACCGGAGTACACCTCGCGACCAGCCACAAGCAGGAGCAGTGACGATGCAGTTCCGACTCTACCTGATATTGCGCCTCGTCCACCTATGCCTAGCCGAACGGTAACTCATGGATCCGCAGCGTCGTGGTCGAGCTACACCTCAAATGCTCCTCTGATGGGGTCTGCCGCGGATATGGGGTTTGCAGCCGATCGAGTTCAGACCCCAGCATCTGATGCAAACAGCCCCTGGTACGGGAGGCAAGCGCCGAACCGCAGTATATCAAACTTGTCTCAACCTCCGCAGCGGTCCTTCAGTCCTGCGCTTCCACGACCGGGTACAGCACAGGGCGATAGAAATGGTCCTGGTGCATACCAAATGGATCCTCTCTCACGACCAGGTACTAGCATGTCCAGCAATGGCAGGTCCAGATATCCTTTGGAAAACAGCAGCGCTCTTCCATACCCTGACGATCGAAGCTCGAACCCATCGACTAAGCCACCATCATGGTCAGGGCCAAACTTCGACAGCCAAGTCGATGCATCAGGCCGTCGTACGCCTGGAGTTCCCGCTGGGCCAGCATTTCCTGTCATTTCCGAACAAAGAGGTCGGAACTCACCCTTGCCAGGACCTCAGTTCCGATCACAAACTCCTACTCAAGGTTCTCTAGAAAGAGGCCGCAACTCACCCTTGCCGGGACCTCAATTCCGATCGCAAACTCCTATTCAAGGTCCCCTAGAAAGGTCATTCACGCCCAACGGTGCAGGTCCAATGAGGGCCGTGACACCAATTGCAGCTCCCACGTTGCCTCGACTACAGACATCAAGTTCTGCTGGTTATATTCCTTATTCGGCAGAGCGATCAATGACTCCGGTGTCTTCAATCCCCCCCAGTGCCACCATTCGTAGTGTTACCGAACCAACGAGGGCATACACGCCTTTTGGATCACAGCCAGGTCTCCCCACTGGTCCACGAGATAAGCCACTTCCACAGAGGCAGGGAAGTCAGGGAGTCGACGACATATTGGACCATTATTAATGGGTTGACCCTCGTGAAAAACGGAAGCGACTTGTGTGCTCGCGGTGACGAAACAGTAACGATGATTAATAGCTAGATTCTGTCTGTAACACAAAATGGCATCAATTTCTTATTTCGTAAATTTCTGGTTTTGCGGACATGGTTCGCCCGTACATTGAAGGAGAAGTGGTCTGATAGACTCCTTGTTGGAAGGGCTTATTGGGTATTTTTGTAAGATGTGTCTCCTGAGGTCTCCGATTGGCCAATCCTGAAGCTCATTTTGGGGTACATATTAATTATTAAAGTACTTCCCTATTCCTCGAGACAAGAGAGCCAGACCCTCCAGAGGCATCGAGATGCTACCAGCGTCTGCTTTCTCGAGAACCCTTCGTGAAGTCGCACCAGGCTTGTCGAGGCGGTTCTTTGAATGCAGCCGTCGCAATCATCATGCTTCTCAGCTTAGCAAGCTCCAAACCCCATGTACGGGCTCCATAAGAGCGCCACCCTCGCCGGTCACGACCAGGCAGGCTCGATACCTCAGCACGCGTTGTGACCCGTTCATACGGAACTGCGGTCGGCTGAAGCCCGATTCCCCTTCATACAACCTCAAGATCAGAACCTCCGCGGGTGCACCTGTCCGAGAATTCTCTGGATCTGCGAACTCGAAAGCCACGAGCGCGGCCGACGAAGCTACAGACTCAAATACGCAGAACAAGGATGGAGGGCGATCAGAAAGTCAGAGCAAGAGCAGAAGTTTCTTCCCAGATACCTCCTCAAATACTGTGGCCTACTGGCTTCTCGGCAGCGCTGCTAGTGTGTTCGGCATTGTGGTGTTTGGAGGGTTAACGAGACTTACAGAGTCAGGGTATGTAATGCCAGTCAAATGCACTCCTTGAGCCTCTTGGACTTCGAGATCTGTAGAGAACATAACTGACTTGAGCAACAATACCAGGCTAAGCATCACAGAATGGAAACCCGTCACCGGCTCCCTCCCGCCCATGTCTGACGCAGACTGGGAGTCTGAATTTGCCAAATATCGCTCGAGCCCGGAGTTCCACATGCTAAACTCGCGCATGACGCTCGAAGAGTTCAAATCGATCTACTGGATGGAATGGATCCACCGGCTCTGGGGTCGCTTCATTGGGCTCTCCTTCGTGCTGCCAGCTGCTTATTTCGTCGCGCGAAAGCAAGTCTCTCGTTCCATGGCAATGAGACTACTGGGCATAGCAGGCTTGATTGGATTCCAGGGCTTTATCGGCTGGTGGATGGTGAAGTCGGGATTGAAAGATGACCTGTTCGCTCCGGGCTCCCATCCGCGTGTCTCGCAGTACAGATTGACCGCACACCTGGGCGCGGCTTTTGTCTGCTATCTCGCCATGCTCTGGAACGGTCTTGATATCCTACGAACGAACGGAATCCTCCGTGTCTCCCCCGAAGCTGCAAACGCCACGCTCAAAACCTTGAGTAACCCGGCGTTGAGGCCTTTCAAGCGCTATGTCTCTCTCCTAGCAGGTCTGGTCTTCATCACAGCAATGTCTGGCGGTCTGGTAGCAGGTCTCGATGCGGGCCTGATCTACAACGAATTCCCATACATGGGAATGGGCCTGACACCGCCGAAGAGCGAGCTATGGGACAAGTTCTACTGCCGGGCACCCGACCACAGTGACCTTTGGTGGCGCAACATGCTCGAGAATCCCAGTCTGGTGCAGCTTGATCACCGGATCCTCGCGACGACCACTTTCACCGCAGTAATGGCGCTATGGGCATTCTCACGCTCAGCGGCAATGCAGAAGATCTTGCCCAGAGCAGCGCAGAGGGGTGTCCACGGTGTCGTCGGGTTTGTGTGTTTGCAGGTCATCCTGGGCATTTCCACGCTGTTGTATCTCGTACCGACGGGACTGGCAAGCGCACATCAAGCGGGGAGTTTGGCATTGTTGACCTGGACAATCGTGTTGGGGAGTCGAGTCTGGTTCCCGACCCAGGCGGCGCGCATTCTGGCCCAACGAGCGCAGGTCAACCTTGGTCGTACCGGTGCTGAGCTGGCGTCATCGGCGGCAAAGCCAAAGTTGGTAATGCCTGGCAGCCCAACCGCATTGGCCGCCATGGGCTTCATGCCGGTTGTCACAGCCATAGGTCTTGCTGGTAGTCTTGCTTCAACGACACAAGCGACTGTCGCGAGGGGGCAGCTATCTGCCCGAAAGGCTGAGCATCAGGCAATGTCTTCGGAGGTTGAACAAACGCGGTCTTGACCAGCGTCCAGGACTTTGTAGCAAAATCTTCACTCTTGACAAAACTACCTTTAAATTGTACGTCTCTACGAACAAGGCAGGCATCTCGAGCAATTGTATGGGACTGGTTTATGATGAGTTTCTCCTCTCGCGGCGAGGGTATGCTACTGTCCGAAGAGGCGAGCAGTTTACAACATGCAGAAGCGGACGTGTATCTCGTTCGAGGGCCCACAGGAGCGTCTCATCTCATCGGATTGCTCGACCATGGACTGAGCGCTGATGGAAAACACTTGGAGATACCTACCTAAGGTACAGTGGCTTCGAGCATCACCAAATGCGAATGCGGTAACATTGTCCACGCTCCTGGCTCCTTACTTACTTGCCGGTGTCCGTCTGAGAGACCTTCCAGTTAGCCCATTCCTACAGGTAAGACATTGATGTCAACCACGTCGAGCATTACGACCGAGAGGGTCTGCGTTGTCAAATAAGGCGACAATCGAGGACTGCTGTGGACGTGGTAGGCTCGGGCGGCACTGGGTCACTACCTGCCTAGGTATGACCAACAACAATTCCCTGGGCGCGACAACTACAGCAACAACAACAACAACCCATCTCTTGCCAGAAAAAAAAATAATTCTCACACGCGCCCGTGAACTGCCAACGCACCAACTTGTCTTGACATGTCCAGGACAGGATCAGTTAGTTAGTCAATCAGTATGTATCCTTTCCGCCCTCGACTTCGCCCGGCTCCTTCAAGGTGGACGGTCAGCATTATGGCAGCCCCGGCTTTGATGCCCAGGTGGTCTCTTCCTCGGGTCCTTGGGTCAAATTTGCTCGGAGGTGCGGTCGGGCAATCCCTCTTCCTTGGAAGTAGTGGTCGAAAAACGGAGTTCCGCCGGGTTCTTTTATCAAAGTCCGTGGCCGAATAGGAGAGAGAATTGGAAGGGGACCCTTGAGCAGGAGCAAGTGTTATTACATTCGACGCGGTCCTGGAAAGACTTGGAAAAAGAGGCAAGCAAACAATACACAGACCAGAACATAGCAGGTAAATAGTAGATAGAACGAAAAGGCAAAAGGGGTTCAGCATTTGAGAGCTGCGCGAGCTGCTATTACTCGGACGTATTACCTCGATCAGGAAATAGAAGATGGTGGTACGGAATCGCGAGGAGATGGAGACAGCTGACAGGCCGATTAGCAAAGGCGATATCTGTATTTGCGTGGGAAAAGCCTGCATTGAACTTTGCAAGCATTGTTCCAGAGAACTCCTAGCAAGGTTATCGGCGTCGTTACATCCAGTCAGTCATACCGAAGACTTAGTTCAGGAGCGGGCCGCAGATTGCAAGCCAATGGCACCTGCGATGGAGGTGAATTTATCTTGCATTTGATACAACTCACGATTCTGGGCAAACTGAAATCGCCGGCTATTTCAATGGGACCACCCTTGGGGGAAATGCGCAGCCTGCAGTCAAGTTGAACTTGGAGCGGATGCACCTTGATAAAACGTTGCGGGACATGCATCGTCAACATGATAATGGCTGCCAGCGTGGCTCGCTCCAGCAAGCAAAACCTGGCTATTCTGCGACAATGGGCCTGGTCTGTTTCAGGATAGCAAGCATCAAGCAAGCACATGCCCATAAGAGGGCTATCAGTCCAGCCTGGCTGGCAAGCTGTACGAGGTATCCCAGCACAAGTCGTGGGGCTCACCTCAATCCATCATCCGACTATGGTGTCGACGGTCAATTATCCTGTCGATCAAACACCGTCGACTTGCTATGTTTCTGGGCGGGCCACGTGGAGGTGGCAGTGCAGGGTTGGGCTTCTGGATTCTGGACTATGAGCAGTGGAAAATCCCTTGTGGATTGGGCGGCGCTGTGCGTAAGATGGTCCGGGAGATTGCGAGGCAGTAGCGGAGCGGTATATCGATATGCTGCGGTGCCTCTATCGATTTGCTAGCAGGGCCAAAGTGGGGGATGGAGATTGACCAAGGACGACCGCACAGGGAGCATTTGGTGATTCCCATGGTGGTGCATGCCTGTGACAGTGATGAAGGTTTGCTGGCTGAAGCAGCGTGGCTTGAATGCGGACAAAACGAAGACCAAACTGGTTTGAGCCGAAATCTGGCCGCAATTGCCAATTGACATCTATCACGTTAGCATCATGACCACTTTTTGCGAGATGCGGACAAGGGACAGGAGAATAGTCGGTAGAGGTACGGCGTGTGGTCGTAGGCTCATAGTTGTGGGCAAACCGTTGGCGACGAAGCAACCAAACATCAACGAGGAGTAACTAAATATACATTCTCTGGACCTCTGGACCTCTGCGGCTCGTTCCTGTTGGGCGGGATTTTGACTCTGGCGGTTTGATAACCACCCACGCGCTTCTTACCCGCTGTCGATACTTCCTGCGGTGCGCGGCGCTGCGATGCGTATGCGTGCGGGTGGATATCGAGCCAGGATACATTGTACAGCAAGACTCCGTACAGACTCAAAGCTGCGTCAATCCCCGTGTGTGTGTGTTTGTAGCCCTTCTTCAGATCTTTCTTCCTGTGCTCCATCCTCCGTGCTATGCCCATTCACGCCTTGGCCCCAACCCTGCAAGCGAGGAGCAGCCCTTCTGCTGTGACTATCTTGGTCTCCTGTGACTGGTGGTGACTGGCTGCTGCGCGCCTGTCGCTTGTCCTTGTTCGGAAAAAGAGCAAGAGAAGGGCGAAAAATATCACCAGCACGCGTCACCCATTGGTGCTTTGCATGGTTCACTCGCCTTGATTCACAGGAGCCAACGGAACTAGAGGCTGGTGAGGCCCTCGAAGCCTTGAATCAGGCCTGGAAGCTGCAGCCCGAAGCCTGAAGCCTGAAGCCTGAAGCCTGGCGCCAGTACCAGAAAGCTGAGTGCTGAGGAGCATTTCAAGTTCAGTAAACCTCCTGGGCACTTCAGTTCCCCATCTGGCATCTGCCGCTCCCGCTGGCCTTCAGTTAAACCCTCCGCACCACCCAAGCACCATTAGTGGCTCGGACTCACTAGGCTGCCCAGTGCCCACTGCACCTGGCGCCCATCTGGCACCCACGCACCCACCTGGCACCTGGCACTTTGCACTTTGCTGCCCGCTGCTGCCCGCTTTTCTTGGTTCAAGGTTTCCCTCCAACTGCCAGACTCCAGTACGCAGTCTGCGGTCTCTGGACTGTGGCACCTGCACCTGCAACTTGCACCTTGCACCTGCCAACCTTCACGGTGACTTGAGCCATGGACAACGTCCATAACACCACCAACACAACCTCCTCCAACCTGACCACGTTTACCTCTTCCAAGCGACGTCGAAATACTTTGACCAAGAATCCTCCTCCTTCCGCCTTCCCCTCCAAGGGTTCGCTACGCAAACAACAGTCGTCTGCCGCACTTCAACGAGCCCCGTCAGCTCCATCTCCATACCCTCGCAGTCACGACGCCTCACTTTCCTCTCGCGATTTTCATCAGAGAACCCAATCCAGCGCGTTCGCTTCTTCCACATCCTCTCTTGAACACAGCAGTGGCGCACCGTCCCCCATCGTTCCTTCCCCAAACTTCTTCGCGTCGGCCGTCAACGGCTATCAGGCGCCGCAACACCTCCCCCTCACGCCACAGACTTCAGATGACCGTCACAAGGACTTGATCGGAGCGCCCTTTGACGCCTCAGGTCTTTTGTCGTCTTTTCAAGCCACCGGTATGAACGACAATCAGAATGCTGGTGCTCAATCACCATATCCCCCGCCATTAACCCAGGCCCATACCAGCCCCGACCTACGATCTCATCCGCTCCGAAACTCACAGACCTTTGGTCCTGGAATGGTGGCTATGATGGAAGTGACGCCTCCAAAATCGGAAAATGGCACGCTCAGTCCCAAGCGCTTCTCTGGGGACCTCCACACAAAACCGGCCGGGCCTTTTCGCAAGAAGAGTGGCTTCTCCAGCTTCGTCAACAATATGCTGGGTTCCCCAAGGACCATCAAGATCTCAGCCCCAGAAAATCCTCTGCACATGATACATGTTGGCTACGATAACCAGACCGGGCAGTTTACGGTAAGTCATACACCGGTTGGACAGATCATCTATCCTTCCATTGATCGGAATGGCCCCCACTGTCGAGCATGACAAGCTGATACACTTCCAACAGGGACTACCTGCGGACTGGCAGAGGATCCTAGCCGACAGTGGCATCACCAAGACTGAGCAAGACCAAAACCCGCAGATGATGGTCAACATTGTCGAGACCTACAAGAACAACCTGGGCGGCAATGACGACGGGGTGTGGCAGAAATTCGACCATGCGAAACTCTCTGACTCTCCTCAAAGCAGCAATAGCAGCTACCAGAGTCCCGTGACGCCAATCATTGGGTCCAGTGTTGCTTCGTACTCCCCCATGGCTGGTGTAATATCACCCCCCGCTAGTCCTCGATTCCCGCAGAATCATGAGGGCAGCTTCGAGAATCCTCGTGCTGCACCGCCCGTACCAAAAATCCCTCCCGCAAGCGCAATGGCAGGCATGAAACCAAGTCAGTCTCAAATGATGATGATGCCCAACCGGCCTGCTCCCAAACCCCCTGCACAGAGTCTGCGAGATATGGCACCCTCACGGCCTGCGCCGCCTCCTCCTATAAGCCGAGACCTACCGCTACGGCCAGTTCAGGAGCAGCCAAAACCGCAACCGCCACCGCCGCCAGCTTCTCTGCCTGATACACCATCAATTCCCCAAGAAGAAGTTCGGAGTCGTTCCAATTCGAAAGGACCCACTGCAACACCGCCGCGTACTCAGCCGGCAATCCAATCCCCGGCGCAGTATCAACAACAGCAAGAACAGGCAATGCTGTTAGCGCAACAAGCCATCCAGAGCAAACAACTAGACCGAAGTCGAAGCCAGCGTCAAGTTGCGCAAGGTGCTCCCGAGGTTCCACCAAAGATCTTGCCTCAACAAATCAGCCCCAACATTCCACAAGCGCAATTTGCTGCAGTGACAGCTTCACCAGCCCTTGAAGGTACTCCGCAGGTAGCTGCTGTGCCTCGACCCCGACAGAAGCGGCAACAAAGCAACATCGTGGATGTCACAGCCAGGCTACGAGCAATATGTACTCCCGGTGACCCGACCACGAAGTACAGCAACCTCAATAAAATTGGACAAGGTGCTTCTGGTGGCGTCTATACAGCTTTCGAAAATGGCTCAAGACGGTGCGTTGCCATCAAACAGATGAACCTCGAACAACAACCAAAGAAAGACTTGATCATCAACGAAATCATCGTGATGAAGGACAGTAAGCATAGGAACATTGTCAACTTTATCGACAGCTATCTGCACGAGGGAGATCTGTGGGTGATTATGGAATACATGCAAGGTGGCAGTCTAACCGACGTGGTGACATTCAATGTCATGAGCGAGGGCCAAATCGCTGCAGTGTGTAGGGAGGTTAGTATTGTCCCGGGCGGTGCTTCTCTCTCTTACTGACTTGCGCAGACGCTCCTAGGCCTACAACATCTGCATTCTAAGAACGTGATACACCGAGACATCAAATCTGACAACATCCTCCTTTCAGAAAGAGGGGACATCAAGCTAACAGATTTCGGATTCTGTGCCCAAATCAATGACAGTCAGAACAAGCGCACAACGATGGTTGGGACACCATACTGGATGGCTCCAGAGGTGGTGACAAGAAAAGAATACGGCCGCAAGGTCGACATCTGGAGTTTGGGCATCATGGCGATCGAGATGATCGAGGGAGAACCGCCATATCTGACCGAGTCACCGCTGCGCGCCTTGTACCTGATCGCTAAGTACGGAACACCACGTATCAAGGACGAGCAAGCGCTGTCGCCAGTCTTCCGAGATTTCCTCCATTTCGCCCTGAAGGTCGAACCTGAGAAGCGAGCAAGTGCTCATGATCTATTACATGTAAGGCCATCTCCTGCGGCTTCGAATTCTTCCTCTAACATGAACAACAGCATCCTTTCATGCACAATTGTGCCCCGCTTTCCAGCCTCGCTCCTCTTGTACAATCAGCAAAAGAAAGCCGAGCCGCGGAGAAGGCCAATAGAGGCAACTGATGGTGGTGCTGCTCTGATTCTTGTACAATTATTATGACCATGTGCGACTGAGACGAGCCCTTATCCGACGTGCCTGTGTTTTGGACAAACGCGACTTAAACTCGGCGAGATTTGCACTCGGTCCCGTGCGCCAGAGCGTTATCTGCTCATTTGCATCCTTCAAAATGCATTGTCAATTGCCAGAACGAGACTTGGGAAGAAGGCGATATACTAGACGCACTGCAACGGCACCTTATCTTTCTTCGTCATGGGGCCCATCGAGGGTTGCCCACGTCCACTTACGGGTATTCTTTTCTTTTCCTTTTGTGCAGCGTTCTCCGCAGGCTGTCAGCTTGCCGTCTCTTTTACGACTCTCAAGGAAACATTATGATCAGACGAGTGGGCAAAGGAGTTTCGTGGAACACGGGCAATGGCGATGGGAAATGGGCAATGAATGGGCTCGAGCCCGTCTGGTGGCTACGCAATTCCGGGACGATGGTATGTAGTGGTCTGAAAAGCACCGAGATGAGCGAGGAATTTGAACCTCTATGTGTAACAGCAAGGCAGGCAGATGAGCCATGTAGACGAGAGAGCTCCTCGAAATAAAGAGCTTCCTTTTGTGTGTACCTAGGTGATCGACCTCAGTCGCAACCACTCTCCTGCTCTGCTACTAAATACTACTGTGTGATATGTCTACTCGGTACCCTGGGAACTAAATAGTACGTACCTCGTACGCAGTGTGGCTTGTGTGGAGAGATGCTCTGGATGCTCCACCTTTCACCCGCCACTTTGACCTGCTGCGTCACCGAGATTCGAGGTGCGCTAAAAGCTGGAGGTGAGTGCCTACTAGCATTTGTTCATTAGGCTGCGCCGCATCCAAGGCCGAAGATAAGTCGTGCTTCCAAACCAAGCCTTCTGTTCATGTCATAACTCTCTGCATTCGCTTTGAGACTTGATTTCTCCTCTCTAAAATCCTAGGCTCGAACAACTAAGCTGATTTGCCCGCCATGTTCCGGGCACAACAAAATACATTCGACGACGCTGTTGGTAAGCTTGGGTCTTGAGACCACCGCACTTCGCTCCCACTGCTGCCTCACGATGGGTGTACATACGCTGACTCTTGGATTTCTTGCTTCTTTCCTATATAGCCAAAGCAACCGACGAAAACCTGACCTCCGAGAACTGGGAGTACATCCTCGACGTCTGCGACAGAGTCTCATCCAGCGAGAGCGGAAGCAAAGATGTCGTGGCCGCCATGATCAAGCGGCTGGCGCATCGCAACGCCAATGTCCAGCTCTACACATTGGAACTTGCCAACGCCTTGTCGCAAAATTGTGGGATTCAGATGCACAGGGAGCTGGCAAGTCGGAGTTTCACGGAGGCCCTGTTGCGGTTGGCGAATGATCGCGTATGTGTGGCCCTATGCTGCCCTGCGAAAGAATCTAGGACGCGGTAATTTCATACATCAAGGCAAATTGCTGATGGGCGGGCTCTAGAACACGCATCAACAAGTCAAGTCCAAGATAGTGGAAAGAATGGAGGCCTGGACCAAAGACTTCTCAAGTAATACCGAGTTGGGCATCATGGAGCAGGCATACATGAGATTGAAAGCGCAGAGTGAGTTTGCAGTGAGGTTTCAACATGTTTCTGTACGACGCTGACCGAGACGCCTAGATCCCAACCTCCAACCCCCTCAGGCCCCGGTCAAGAGTGCGATCACAGACTGGGACAGACGGAGGGAAGAGGAAGAATTGCAAATGGCTCTCAAGCTTTCGATTCAAGACAAATCCACCCCCGGTCCCTCGAGTCAACCCTCTGGCGGTCCGGCCGAATTAGCAGCCCAGCCACCGGGCAGTGTCTCGCAACAGACAGAGCATCAGGCGGTCCCCTCAGGTACAACCGCCGCAACCGTGTCGCGGGTACGCGCCCTGTTCGATTTTCAACCTTCTGAACCCGGCGAGCTACAATTCCGAAAAGGCGACGTAATAGCCGTGCTTGAGTCTGTGTACAAGGACTGGTGGAAGGGCTCTTTGCGCGGCCAGACGGGCATTTTCCCCCTCAACTATGTCGAGAAGCTGCAAGACCCCACTCCCGAGGAGTTACAGAAAGAAGCACAGATGGAGGCAGAAGTGTTTGGGCAGATCAAGAATGTCGAGAAACTGCTCGCCCTTCTAAGCACGAGTGCGGGGGATATGAACGCACGCGACAACGAGGAGATTACCGAGTTGTACCACAGCACGTTGGCAATACGGCCAAAGCTAATTGAGCTGATTGGGAAATATACGCAAAAGAAAGGTAAATGCAGAAGAGAGAGAAAAGACTATTACTGTGCGACGAATTGCTAATTGTTATTGGTCGTTTAGACGATTTCCAGCAACTCAACGAGAAATTCATCAAAGCGCGCCGCGACTATGAAGCGCTTTTGGAGTCATCCATGGCACAATCCGCTGCACAATACGCGCGCCCTGGGCCTGCAGCGTACGGATACGGGCCTGGAGGAGGTGGTCCACCAGTTCAACAAGGATATCCGCCTCAAAGATTCTACACGCCTGGTGAGTTCTGAACAATCTTCGGGACAAGCTCTTTCTGAGTAGCGGTACATTCAGATGGCCAACCACCCAACAACGCGATACCCTACGGTGCAAACCAGCAACAACAACAACCTCCCTTTCAGCCTCCGTATCCGGTAGCCTCGCCACCGCCTCAAAGCCAGACTCCCTCAAACCAACCTCAACCTCCCCATTCTCAACAGCCCGATAGCTATGCCTCCTATCCAAATCCAGCACCAGGACCACTCCGTCGTCAATCGCACCCTCAACCCTCAGATCCTTATGCAGCATACCCTCCACCCGCCGAGGGTTCCGCTCCACCAGGACATCAATCGTACCCGAAAATTCAACCGCCCAATGTAGCACAGCTACAGTATGGAGACGAAGGGAAAGACTACTCACCTTCAAACTACTCCACGGACGATCTCAGCCACCAACATCTGCCACCACCAACATCACACCCTCCTCCCTCAGGGGCTGCTTCACAGCCATATCCGCCACAACAAGGAATGCCTCAGCCGCCCTCGCAGCCTCCCCAGCCCACGCAATATCCACCATCTCAACCACCAGTAGCGTTGTCATACGATTATCCAATCCCACCCATCAGTTCTCCGCCCCCGCCGGCTCCAAGCCATGGCCCTCCTCCAGTCCCTGGTGTCGATCCTGCGCAGCAGAGACCCATCACGCCGCTGGCACAGAGCTCGGCGTACCCCATGTTTTCGCCCACTCAGGCACCGGCGAATCCGGCGCAGTATCAGGCGTATAGTCAGAGACCGACGAGTTATTACAGGTAAAATGGAATGAGTGGATGGGTAGGGAGGACGAGGACCAGGGAAGGTGATGATGGCCCTTCGATGGAGCGCATCCAAGAATTTGAGAGGCCTAGCAAATGATTGAGATCCCATTTGACCTCAACCTCGGCGTTGCAGTAAGAAGAGAGACTCACAATACTCACAAGTCCCTGAAAAGGACATGTCAGATCCTTCCTTCCTTCCCTCCCCTCCACCCATTCCAACATACCCATGATGCCCCCCGCTCACCTGTCCTGTCCGCAAAGCTTGGAATGATTGTGTTGTAGAAGCAAGCAAATGGCGTCGAATTGGTTTTTTTCCACCCCCCCTTCTCCCTCAAAGTTCCGGGAAGCTCGCGACACACAATTCGCATCTACAATGGAAGCGGGCATTCGGGGGATATGGAGAATTCGGGGGAGTTGGCAAGTTTCGGGTTTTGGGGACCTCTTCCAGGGCCTTTCATCCTTCCAACGTCGAGGCGGGGGGGGGAAGTTGGCTTTTATGGGCAAGAGCAAGGGCAAGGGCAAGGGCATGGGCATTTGTGGATGGGCGTTTGCGTGGCTCTCGTGCACCAACCAGCCTTTGTTCCGGTCTACTAGGCACCTAGGTAGTCGGCGGTCGTGGATTACGTACGGTATTTGCCGACAATTACATGTCATGTTCACATTCAAGTCAAGTTCATGAACCCCGGACTTGCTATGCGCATATAAATACCCTTTGAAATTTCCTGTTCAATCGGAACCCTGTCCGAATGATGCGAGTCGGGCGAGTCGGGCGAGTCGTAAGCGGTCACGTTGGCTGGAATACCGAGTATGTCGAGCTCGAAACAAACAGCACAAAGCCACTGGTCTTCAAGGTCTCGGGGCGGGAGGTAAAACGAGGAGAATGAAAGGACATCAACGTGAACAGGAACGTCATTTCAGGAACTTCGGCAGCTTTATCGACTGCAGAAGGCCAGACCCAATATCCTAGATCTATCCATGTAGCGAGCATAAAACATCTGAGTTGGTTAACATGTCCCCATACTCCAGAAGGATGAACAGAGCAACCCCAAGTCTGCGCCAGAGGTGGGTTCTTCCAGAATAGTTGTCTAAGCTGGACGGGTGGCTTTCTTGGAGATTGATGTCGAAGCAGCATGATCTGGTATTCATCCTTTGTGTATTCAGCTGAGCAAAAAGGGTGTAGAATGGTTTGTTCTGGCCAAGCAGATTTGCAGCGCCTGCGTCTTCGCTTCGCACAAAAAGCAATGCAGCCACCTTCGGTAAATGTGCAAAGTCCCAGAAACGAAGTAGAAGTTTGGCACGTTCTTGATTCCGCAACCCGTCCCGGTAACCCCAGTATTTTCGTCGCTAGCACCCCATCACCTGGAACGCCATCTATTTCTTGTCCTGGGTTTGCATGTATGTGTATCCGAAATATGCCAGAGCCGCACCGACCAAGAGGACAGCATACATGGCAACACCCATGCCAGTGCCGGCATCGCTTCTTCCACCAGGGCCAGCAGCAATCTTGTCGGTGGCACCGACCTTGGGGGCTGGGTCACCCGGGGCGCGCTTCAGGGAGCCGACCTTGAGGCCTTCCAGGATCTCACGGGCTTCGTCTGAGTGGCCGACATCTTCGAAGGCTTCGGTTGCGTCTTGACCTCCTACGTCGAGCAGGACTTCTTCACCACCACTGGAACAATTACACACGGCAGTCAGTCACAAATACATCAACAGGGCTAGAGTATGAAGATGGGGAAGAATTGTCAAATGTCAATCGCAATGTGGGGCCACCAGCAGTGGGAGAGACAGGAGGGGATTGGGGAACATTGGAAACACAATTATCACATACGGATGCTCGTCGACGAAAGTTGAGGCATTGTAGACCTTGTCGTGAATAACCACATAGAGATCCTTCTTGGTGTTGTGCTTGGACACCTCAGAGTACGTGAGTTCTTCCGACATGGCTGGTGAGATGCGGTTGGGTTTGGGGATCGAGTGAGATGAGGACGACGGGTCTAATTGAAGGGGGAGCTCGATGAGGAGGATTGGGACGATGCTCGACTTGATGGAGATGGCAAGGAGACGGACGAGGGAGCAGGTGAAAGGGAGAGAATCTATTAATTGGCTTCGTGGAGAGAAGTGTCAAATTGTCGGTCGGGGAAAGCAGGTGGTGGCAGTTGCTGCTAGCACTAAGTAATTATGCCAGCAACAGCCGAGAAACTGAGAGAAAGTGGCAGTGGAAGGCCAGCGGCGCAGGCACCGCAGGGTCCAAGTGCAGATGGCAGTGGATGGTGGAGCCACAGCAACAGCAGCTGTGACTTGTATGAAATCGGCACACGAATCGGAGCCCAGGTGATAATAAGGACCAAGATGGCGGGACTTGCACGACTTGCAGGACTTGCAGGACTTGATGCCCCAAACCTGTCCCTCGTCAGCCCGATCGTGCCCGCTTCCGATACCTTGCCGTCTTCTACCGACTACTAGGTATACTCGTAATACTCTCGCGCTCAATTCCGCCCTCTTCTCGCTCCTCTCTCGGGGGACTTTTGCCTTTCTGGGACGTCTTCCCGTATCTCGTTCCCACGCAGGTGCCAGGAGCAAATCTGGGGGGCGTGGGTGCGAAGCGAGGGAGCGAGACGGAGAGCAAAAGGGCCAAGCACATCACGTGGTTTCGTGCGGGCACGTCGCGGGCAGCGCAAAAAGTGCGGAGAGGGTCAGAGAGGGTCTCGGTAATATGTAAACAATTGCACACCACCTGCTCTCAACAAGAAGATGCAACGATAACCCTACCCCTGCCCCTGCCGCAAGACTCCTCATCCTCACCGCTCGTCGATAAATGTCAGGCCACATCGTGTATGATGGAGTGCCGCGCACGCACAATGACGACGATGACAATCAACCTCGCGCGACTCTGTTCGCGGGCCAAAGACTATGGTTCTCTCACGTCATCCCTCAGCGGCGGCAGATGATTCAGAATGCTCGAATGAATGGCGCCGTCATTGTTGATAGAGACACCGACGCCGATGTCAGACTGGTCGACCACCTCAGGAAGAATAATGCGCCAGGAACATACTCGTACAGATACGTCGAGCTCTCCCTCCGCAATGGCCAACTTGAGAATCTCGCCGATCATGCTGTCGGAGCACCTTCCCGCGTCTCCCGACCTGTTGGCAGTGCTGTCACAGGCCCCAAGGCGGGAAGGACGCCTTTCACTCCGGAGGACGATAAGTTCTTGTGGGATTGGATCAAACCGTTCATTGACCGCGGCGGAGCCTGGAAGGGAAATGAGATTTACAAGCAGATGGAAGAGGCGAATCCGCGACATACGTTCCAGAGTTGGCGCGATAGATGGATTAAACATACTCAATTCCAGAAGAGACAGGTCAGCGCCACTGCTGCTGCTAGAGAGCCTAGCGTCGACGAACCGGCAGCGCCACCGTCGCATTCTTCGCAAAAGAAGCGTCGACGGGAATTGCACGATGACGGGGAGGAGGAACGAGTCAGACCTGAGGTTGAAACGAGTCGGTCTACGACAGTTGCGGCTGGCAGAGTTGTAGACAAGCTGCCTGAGGTTGCTGCTGCAGACCACGAAGCAAGCCACACAGCGTCAACTGTTCCTGAGAGATCCTACCAAGTTGATGGTGTGCACGAAAATGGCAAAAAGGCACAATCTTCGAAGAGTCTCCTGCCTGCAAGGCCCAAATCATTCACCAAAGAGGAATACGATGAGCTTTATGAGCTCGTTGCAACGTTGGCCGGCGACGAATTTGATGATTTTGACACGCCATGGGAGGTGTTTGCCGAGGAGCGCGGTACCCATTCGGCAGCAGAATGGAAGCAGTTCTTTATGTCAAGGGTTATTCCTGACTATTGCAAGAAGAACAGCTTGACCTTGTCGGAAGCTGCTCCTTATTTGTATGGGAAAGCTGATGAACAAGCTGTCAATACATGTGAACCGCTCAATCCCCTGGAACACGATCAAGCAACACCTGCCACTTCTGAGACCGAAGAAGAATACCGATGTACAAATTGCTTTACAGTCGAAGCTGTCAAATGGCGACATGATATAGAAGGCAAACTGATTTGCTATGAATGTGCGAAATTTGTGAGACGACATGGCTATCATAGGCCGTCGACTTGGTCAATCGGCGAAAGCGCTGCGAACACAGACGGAAACGGACAATCTCGAACAAGTTCAAGGCGACTCCCAAGTTCAGATGCTCAGAACGATTCTATCCCCCAAGCCATTCTTCCCCAAGACTCCAGTCTTGCAGATGGCAGAAAACAAAATCTCTTGTTAGCCACAGAAGACAACGCCAGCCCTCCAGCGCCTCCCTCAATTCAACCGGAATCTTCCTCCACAAGTCGCCCACCTGTACCTAACGAGTCAAGGAAGAGGCTTGCTGGAAGAGGTACACAGTCACAGTCTACGCAGGAGTTGAGCCAATCCGGCACTCAGAGTCAGACTCTGCACTACAGTCTTCAAGGTGAAAGTTCGAGCCAAACGATACCGTCGCAAGATCTGGCAGCAGAGATCGGAGAGACTCAGTCAACGGAGAGCGACTCGCAAGTACAGCAGTCATCACTGGCTGAGAGAGACTCATCTATAAAAGCCACTGCGGCGCTCGCACTTTCTCCAAAATGGAAAGGGAAGCAGCCGCAAAGAGGACCGGGAGACACAAGTGTCCAGCAACGCCCTTCAAGCGGCACTACAAATACGGTACACGGGTCATCACGCCTCCATTCCAGGACAGACTCAAAACGGGACGATGAGCTCTTACATTCTACCACTCCATATGACCCTTCGAAGCGGGTACGAACTGATCGTAACTACTCGCCCCTCTTTGTCCCACAACATGACGACAACGATGAGGAGCACGAACAGAAGGAGGACTTAGAGTTGGCTCGGGAAACAGATTCCAGCAGCTCCGTCCCCTCAATTCACCACCAGGCGTCTGACCAGTTCGAAACCGCCCAGGAGTCCGTCCAGGAATACGAGACAGGACCGGAAGAACAACCTCTGACATACAAAAGGGCCTTCAAAAAATTGTCCAAGATCCTTCAAGACGTCAATGCCGAGTTTGACATGGCCCTCAATGACCTGGGGATTCCAGACAGGCCCGACGTAGGTCGTGTTGGTGTTTCTGTGATGCCGCACGACGAAATCAGCAATGAGGATGTCCCCATGCTCAAAGGAATAAGTCAATTCGTCCATACGCAAAACTCCCCGAAAGTCCAAACCGACGTGGAAAGCCACAGCTTTCTTGAACCTCCCGCCACGCTCTTTCGATCGTCACGTGGCTCTGGAGACTTGTCGAAACCCTCGGAAAATGCCAAGGGGAAAGAGAAAGAAGATGAAGAACAGAGGATAGAGCAAGAGGAAACCGAAGAAAGCTCCTCGCCCAAACCTGACGGTCACGAGACAGACGAATGGATTGCTCTTCAGCGAAGCCTGCACCCACATGTCCCGAATCTGGAACCTATGCTCTTCAAGGCCATCGAGTCTACCAGTTTCAATTTTGGACTTGCAAGCGAGGTCGTGGATATCATGCTAGCAAGTCGTCGTCGTGTTTTGGAGAAGCAGCGGAGGCAGAGCCGAATGAGCGGCGGTGTCGGCGTCGGAACGTCGTCTGCTGTTCTAGCAGAAGAAGCTGATTTGGATATGGAGAGTCTCCTTCCACAGGCTATGCGAGGCGTCTGGACCGAGACGGACGACTCTCTCCTTCTCAGTCCAGACGCAAATGACGTGAACAAGGTGTTGGGGAAACATGGGCGGGATGCATGTGATGCTCGTTTCGTGTTTTTGAGGGAGTTTGTGGAGGAGTGACGACAGAGGATTGCTTGTGTGGGATTAACAGCACTCGCATGGCAGCTTCTGTCGCAATTGGAACTCGGGCATACCGATCGAAACGTGAAAGGAGAAAAGGAGGTTAGAGAAAATGCATCTCGGGACCTTGCATCTCACGGCTACAGGCATCGAGCAGAGAACGGAGGAATAACAGCAAGTCAAGAGACAGTAGAATCTCTGCGGTCCAAAGTGATTAATTACCATGCCTTTTGGTCTGCTTGCATTCCTGATCGAAGAACTCTGCATTGGAAATAAAAGAAGCTTCCCTCGACTCTTCTGTGTCCAGCTCGGTGCGGCGCCAGCTTCGTCCATTCCTGCTCGCGCAGCTCGGCTCAATCGAGGTCCTTTCCGCATTCCAAACCAGGCAATCACCAGGCATACGAGGAACCCAAAAAAAATACAATTGTCGTGCATGACGGGGTGCTGTGATGGCCGGTCTCGATGTCCACGCCGCGGACTGGCGCAAAATCAGACGAAAGACCAGCAGAGCCGCCCGGCCTCGTCGTACTAGCTTTCCTCTGGAGGGGTTTGAAGTCCCAAGTTCTCACATTTACTCTTTCTCTTTCTCTTTTCTCCCCGCTCTGCTCTCTGTCGCCCTTCCTGGGCCCCTGCTTTGTTTTTCTTTGCTCTGCTCTGCTTTGCTTCGCTTCGCTAGGCTCCATCTGCAATTACAACCCGTTCACGGGCCTCGGGACGGGATCGGCCAAAATCTCATTCATCTTTTCATTCGAGATCCCCGTCCTGTCCTGTCGCGAAATCTCACCGGCTCTTCACCTCACATCGCATATTCGTTCTTGTCTTTCTTGTATGGGAAAAGGACATCGGCCACCGTGTCCAGTCTTCGGCCCATCCATCCATCCATCCATGATTCCAGCGCCATACGCAAAATCATCAAGCATCTCTCCCAGTTTACTCAAAAGATGTCATCAGGGGGTAGCAGAATTCCGTTCCATTTCATTGTGTTGAACTGCAAAGTTTCCCCAACAAGAAAGACACGTAGTTCCGCTATCCCCTAGTCATGTTGTCTTTGGCGAAGTCGCCTTCCGTCGTTCGTGCCGAGTAAAGAAAAAGTGTGGTAATAATATACAGACAGTCTCATGGGTAGAGGACTTGATCATTGTCGGCTAACTGGGCTTCTTTGTCAGAATAATAATCCTGTTGCTCCACTTTCTTGCGATAACTGTGTGTCTCCGCCTGATAATTCTTACTTGAACTTCAAATGTTCTTCGTAGAACTTGAGCATCGGGCGGGGACAGTGCCTGTAGACCATGTCCATGCCGACTTTGGACCGTTTGCCATTCTTGAAGCTGATGTAGGCGAGCAATTGTCCTGTCTCGTCTCGTTCCACCGTTTCGACTTTCACCACCAGCCCCTCCCAGTCTTCTTTGTTGGGAAGCCACGTGCCGAGCTCAGTCTCTTCAGCAGGACTTGCGGAGACATCGTCATTGCCCTTGCGCCTCCGGCGCTTCGGGGGCGGGGCAAGGTCTTCGGAAGAGGGTTGTTCGCGCAACTTTTGCTTGGACTTTGTCCTCTTGGTAGGTGGGACTGGAGCTCCGCCTAATTTCTCGTGGTAAGCTGCGAGGAGTTGTCGGGCATGTCTGGAGAAGGCATGTTCTGTTAGCTGAATTTGCGACCGCGACACTATTGCGACATCGAGGCACTGGTTCAAACGCACGGTAATAAGTGTTCTTCAGGTTCCCAGGTATTGTCCTTCTCGCTGTAGCCTTGCCATTTGATGTAGTAGTACACCACGCCCCTGACGAATTTGTGGTCTCGAATGGCCTCGACGCTGTACTCGGCAACTTCTTCCTCGTCGTCCTCGTCATCTTCATCCTCGTACTCGTCTTCGCCTTTTGCTCGGCCCTTGGCCTCGTCTTCCACATCATCATCCACGTCTTTAGAAGCTACTGGTTCCTCGTTCTCGATGTCTTCATCGTCACTGTCATCTGCCTCCTCTTCCTCTTCCCTTTCCTCTGCATCATCAGCCTTGCGTTTCAGCTCTCCATTGACTTGTTTCTTTGATTCCTTGTCGGCATCCGGCACAGGGTCGTGGAAGATGTCGTCCGCATCTTCAATGTCTTCTGCGGCGGTGGTCAGTAAAGATCGCTAGAGACTATCTGCGCGACAAGTGGACAGGCTCAGGTGAAGCTGAGGCCAATGCGGGCGCTAGAACGACAAAAGCTTACCGAAGCCGTGAGGCATATTGGGCTGTGAAGGAGTGTGCGAGAGTGAAGGCGGAGCAAACGGTGAATGGTTGCTACAGCTTCAAAAGCTTGCGACGTGATGAAGCGTTGATAGAGAAGGGCAACACCTTTTTGAGATTGCCAACGACATGCGACGAGATCGCGACGCGGAGAAAGCGACTCGGGACCTCTGAGAACCCGCCCCCAGGTTGCTGCTTTAACCTGGTGCTAGCAACTGAACTGTCTTGGCATCGCGATTTCTGAAAAGGCACTTGGCTTGGGGGCAAAAGCAGCGGGGCAAGGACGTCTCCAAAATTTTGAGACATTCAACTTTACCACTCGTGAACGAGGTTGGCGGGCAGTTGACCATCACTTCGGGGTACACAGTCATTGTCTATGCTGAGGTTGGGGAGTCAGCATAAGAGAGTTTCGAGAACATCTATATAAGGCCAACTCTTCCTTGTACATCGCACCTTCTGCGACCAAGCTCTACACATCCCGCAGGCACCAACTCACACCACGTTTACGCCCACCGTCGAAGAAAAGGGAAATCGCGACCGCCGTTAGGAGGTGGGTGACCCTGAGTGGGCTGAAACACCCTCATCATGGCGATGCAGTTGGACCTATCCCAGGCACAGGTCCTGAAAGATGAGACGGGAAGACCCTTCATTGTCGTCCGAGACCAAGGAAAAAAGAGGAGAACACATGGCATAGATGCTGTTAAGCAGCACATTGTCGCAGCTCGCACGATTGCAAACATTGTCAGAACCTCGTTAGGCCCACGCGGTCTCGACAAGATCCTCATATCTCCAGACGGCGACATTCAAATATCAAACGATGGGCGCACAATCATGTCGGAGATGGAAATAACACATCCTATCGCTAAACTTATGGTCGAACTTTCAAAATCACAAGATGAGGAGATTGGTGATGGTACCACTGGCGTTGTCGTCTTGGCTGCTGCTCTTCTCGACCAGGCCGCAGACCTCATCGACAAAGGCATCCATCCCATTCGAATCGCCGACGGCTTCGACCAGGCTTGCGAGGTTGCTGTGGCACATCTGGACAAGATTAGCGATGAGGTCACCTTCACCCGCGAGAAGCAAGAAAACCTGATTAAAGTGGCCAAAACGAGTCTCGGAAGCAAGATCGTCAGCAAGTCCCATGACCAGTTCGCCAAGATTGCTGTCGACGCTGTCATGTCAGTCGCCGACCTCGAGCGGAAAGACGTCGACTTCGAGCTCATCAAGGTCGATGGTAAATCAGGCGGTTCAATTGAAGACTCTTTACTTGTCAAAGGGGTCATCATCGACAAAGACTTCTCTCATCCGCAGATGCCCAGCGAAGTGAGGGATGCCAAACTGGCAATCCTGACGTGTGCCTTTGAACCTCCGAAACCAAAAACCAAACACAAGCTCGATATATCCACCGTGGAAGAATTCAGGAAGTTACAACAGTACGAAAAGAACAAGTTTGTGGAAATGATCGACATGATTAAAGCTACGGGGGCAAATCTTGTGATTTGTCAGTGGGGTTTCGACGATGAGGCAAACCATCTTCTTCTTCAAAACAAGCTGCCAGCAGTCCGATGGGTTGGCGGGCCTGAAATCGAGCTGATAGCCATTGCCACCAACGGTCGCATCGTGCCGCGATTCGAGGACTTGAGCAGCGAGAAACTAGGCAAAGCTGGCGTGGTCCGAGAAATGACTTTTGGTACCACGCGAGAAAAAATGCTGGTCATTGAAGAGTGCGCCAATACCCGAGCTGTCACCGTGTTTGTAAGAGGTAGCAACAAGATGATCATCGATGAAGCCAAGAGATCGCTTCACGACGCTCTGTGTGTTGTTCGCAATCTCGTCAGAGACAACAGAGTCGTCTACGGCGGTGGCGCCGCTGAGATCGCTTGTTCTATCGCTGTCGAGGACGCGGCGTCGAAATCGCCAGGTCTGGAACAGTACGCCATGAGAGCCTTTGCCGACGCCTTGGACGCAATTCCCATGGCCCTGGCAGAGAACTCTGGTCTGAGTCCAATTGAGACGTTGGCCGAGGTGAAGTCACGGCAGATCAAAGAACAGAACTCTCGGCTAGGTGTTGACTGCATGGGAACTGGGAATAATGGTATGTCACATTGCATTGCTGGTCTCAGGTTGTTACTGACTGCTGGAAGATATGCGCGCGAACTTTGTTATCGATCCCTTAATTGGAAAACGACAGCAGTTGCTTCTCGCGACTCAGCTATGTCGAATGGTAAGTCTGACCATCCTCTGGTGTGGCCCATGTAGCTCATGAGTATTGAACAGGTCCTGAAAATCAACAACGTGATTGTGGCGGGCAGCGACGAAAACGACTTCTAGACTTGTTCCAGCAGCAGTGCGTCAGCATTTCACGGCGTTTACGCAGAAAGCCTGCATGAAGACATGATTCGAAAGCATGTACAAAATGATACCCGTCGGCAGACCGGATAGAAAAATGAAAAGCTGTTGAACGTCTTTAGTGTGCCATCCATTATGTTGCCCTCAAATGGTATTGCTTCGACTCTCGTGGAGGAAAGTCCAATTCGTCCTAAGCTTTCGACGAGGATCATTACCTAGATGTGTAGGAGATGGAAAGTTCAATATCAGACGCAGCCTTGATCTTCTATTACCTGCCAAAACCTCTTATTCGTGCTCCCGGAGTGCCACCACCGGTGTCTCGCCTATAGCCTTTTCAATGAGTTCTCAGGTTCGCCTGGCGCTCAATCTAAGAAGTAGGTTGTCTTACATCAGCTGCACACGACCGGCAGCCGGTTTATATACCGACTACGCCAAAGTCAATCCCGATGGTTTGACCCACGATCGACAGGAGCCGCAAATGCCGATTCATGCAAGGCTGCAGGTGGAGCGAAGGAGCGACACATGCTGATTGGTTCTCCAGGGGTAAGCAGCCTGCATATCCGCTATGTAAGTCACATCGGCTGGAAACATGCTCTCTTGCCGTAGTAACTGTGTCAGCACAATGAGAAGACATTGATTGTACTTGCAAAGTGGTCGACACGGGTTGAGTTCTGTCATGGGTACCTAGGTAAGCAATGAGTCGGCAAGAATATTTTTGCAACAATGGCAGCACTTCGAGCAAGAGTAACCTAGGACACCAAGGACTCCATGGAGGTGCAACCGGCACGAATCGTCGTCGAAAGGAGGCTGCCGACAGAAGCAAGGAGGGAACAAGAAGACTGGGGTGGCTTGTCGGATGCAAGAGCCAGGAGAAAGATCCAGAACCGGCTCAACCAGCGCTCTTACCGTACGTGTGAAGAGAAGACCTTTGCACGATCATGCTGTTCACTAGACTCACTGTGACATTGCCAGGCCGCAGAAGAGCAGCAGAACGAGCGGCCAGAAGGGCGTCAGCTACTCGCAGCACGCAGAAACCCGTACCACTTGCCCCTCGGGAGGCTGTACCTGCAGCCGATCCCAAAACCAAGGTCGATGAGCCGGCTTCTAGGCGAGAGACCCCCTGCCTACTACTGGCAGGACACCCACCCAGTCAGGTCGACCTGCGCTCTCAGCTCGTGCTCCAGCAGATCACGCCACCGGCGCCCAGATGTGCAGTGCTGCTAGCAAATCCTCAGGTGCGCAGAGTCCACTACTACGCTCGCACGACCCTTTGGCCGTCGTTCAAGCACCACAGCCTCGAGACCAATGAGTCCTTGACTTCGGCTTTCTTTCATCTGAGCATGGTCGATGACCTGCTCCTCAACTCCTTCGTCTGGACCGCCGCGTTGGCCATGTCGATGCACCTGCCGCACACCGTCGTTGACAACGAGGCGGTAATGTTCGCGTGCCAGAACAGGGCCGTCCAGAGCATCCGGGAGCGCATCGGGCGAAATGAGGTCTCTGACTCGGTCATCTTTGCGGTTCTCGGTCTCACCATACGCGACACCAACCCTCGCTTCGCCATGCTGGAGGGCCGAGAAGACTGCTTCGGGGGCTTCGATCCTCCGCTGCGATCGCTCGGTTGGATTCAATGTTTCTCCCACTTCCGCTGGACGCCGTCGCATATCCGAGCCGCCAAGTCCCTGGTGGCTGCGCGCGGTGGTCTGCAACACATCACGATGCCCGGTGTCGCGGAGCAAATCCAGGCTACGGACATCCTCCAGGCTAGCATATCGCTGTGCCGCCCACATTTCACCCTGTGCCGCCTCTATCAGCATGTACTGGACAACCATGTCAAGACGGTCCGCCCGCCCCGTGAGAGACTTGACGAGGCGTTCCCCGCCATCACCGACGTCGAGTTCAAGGATCTGCTCCTCGACATGAGAATGCACTGCCGCGAGCTTGACCGAATTGCCATGGAATCCGGGCCTGCTGCTGCGGGTAGTGCTGGTGAAGATGGATCCGATTCCGATGCCGACCTCGTGTCATCGTCGGTGGCTTGGGAAACGAACGTCTATCGCAACCTCATCCAGTACCGGCTGCTGCGTCTGCCCGGTTACGAACAACGAGTGGAGGAACTCTGTCGGCTCGGAGCCATGATTTTCAGCTACGGAGTCATTTTCCCTGTAGCCAAACCGAAACCGTTGCGCACTCTGGCCAAACACTTGAAGAATGCTTTAGAGGACTATCATCGTCATTGTCGGTTGTGTCCTTCCACGCCGACACCCAACGATACACCAACCTTCTCCGGTGGGCATAAGGCAGCAGAGGGCGACACACATGCACACGCAGCAGTCTCTACGAACGGACCATCAGCCCCGTTGTCATTCCTCCTGTGGCTCGCCATGCTAGGTGCGCTCGCGTCCAGGGGCAACGACCACGAAGCCTTCTTCCTCGACCGCGTGTCAACCTGGTCTGCCGAGTTGGGGGTCGTGCGGTTCTCCGACCTGAAAGACCCCATGCGGAGTTTCCTCTGGCTAGATCGGGCGTGTGATAAGGGTGCGTTCGAGGTGTGGACGAAGATCCGAGTTGGAATTATTACCGGCGATGACGGTACTAGTCTTGGTGGCGCTCCTGGTGTTCCCGGTTCAGAAAAGATAGACAGCAACAACGTAGACGAGGATCTATTGGAGGGGCGGCGGCGGAGATGGCAGGAACAGCAGGGCCAGAAACTGAAGGACGGGGTTGATGGGTCTTTGCATATGTTGTCTTTGATCTGTGCAGGTTAGATGTCCAGGATGCCCTCCCTTCCCGATGCCCGAGACTTGGTAGGTAGAGAGAGTAACTCCATACCGCGTTGTTAGCACCATTGTATAGGTCAGCATCGTATTTTGAATGGTCGAGAAACCTGTCAAGGGACTTGGGTATGCGCATGGTTAACAGTTGCGTGCAGGTTGTGGTTGAGACTTGACACTGGGCTGGCAAACGTCTCCTGCAAGGAAACGGCATGATAAAACCAGCCGCACAGGGCTTGTTGTCAACGTTCACTCGGAGAATGAGACTCGTATATCTCTGAGAAAATAGCCTTGTCAAGGTACTTTATATTTTTGTTATGTTTTGTTCTTGAAGACTTGGGACCTCCGTCTGCTTCGTAGACAATATCACTGTAGACCATTGTGTCTTCCAGGCCCTTTTAAACCCTCTTCTTCTCACGGGGGGCCCGCTACTTGGCACCATCCTTCTTCGCCGCCGACGACGACGCAGACCCCACCACGCTGCCTCCGGGCCGTTTATACTTCCTCTTCTCCTTGCGGCTCATGAGACCCTTCTCTCTGGTTCCCTTGCCGCCTTCCCAGAAGCCGCCGCTTCCGGCGGTCCTGCGTCTGCGGATGACGCTGCGGCCGCACAGGGCGCAGTCGTCGGCTCGGAAGCGCTGCTCGCGCGAACACCACCCGCAGACCATGCGGTCGGCGTGGTCGTTGACGTGGCTTTCGGCGGCGTCGTGGCACCGGTCGCACGGGTGGACGCGGTTGCAGCAGCTGAAGCGGAACCAGCGGTAGCTGTGGCGGTAGTGCGCGCAGGTGCCGTTGTGCGGCAAGGGCGTGCCGGCCGAGATGCCCAGGTTCTCCTTCCGGGGACGCCGCCGCGGCGGGATCAGCGTGCCAAAGGCCGAAGATGCCCGCAGGAACTTGACCTCGTGGATCGTAAAGGTCATTTTGCCGTGGCAGGCCCGGCATACTTGGATCGGTGTGTCGCCTCGGACGGAGATCATGCCGGGAGCCACCGGGAAGGTCGTCGAGCATGACGCGCAGGTGGGCTGAAACACGGACGGGAGGAGATCGGCGACGGTGCAGCCTGTGACTTCGATCGTGCCCGCCCGCACGGTGTTGGCGTGCAAGGCATTGGGTGTAAAAGACACCGTGAACGGTGTAGTGCACTTCGAGCAGGTTTCGGTGCGGACACTGGACGACGTTGAAGCACCAGCTGCGTCACCGCCACCGCTGGATTTGATTTTGGAGATGTCCAGGGGAGATTTACAGCGCAGGCACTTGACGGAGATTGAGAGGGACGACAAGGTCAAAAGCTCAATGTTGTGGAGTTCCAGGTTCGGAAGGGAAATGTGGATTCCCTTTTCCGTCGAGGTCGAGGAGAAGGGAAGAGCGGCGCCGCCTTGCTCAGTGTCTCCCTCATCGTCCTGTTCTTCATCTTCAGAGTCGGAATACTCGCCAGAATCGTAGGATGAGTTTGACTCGTCCTCGGAATCCCATCGGTCCCATTCAGGTGGTCTGGGGATGAATTTGACATGTGGTTTGTCTTGGTTCAAAATCAGCTCTTTGGGTTCTGCTGGGTCTTCCCCTCTCGACGCTACCGTTTGGGTCTCGTCCACAGGAGGTTCTGGTGGACCTGAGGCATTTGATGAAGCTATCTGGGCCCCGCTCTCTGCCACCTCTGATGCCATTGAGTGAATGTTCTGCGTCAGATAATTGACATGGGCCATGAGGGTCATGTCGAGTTTGTTTCGGACATGTCTTTCAAAGGCCAACTGAACGTTCTCAGCTTCTGGCCCACTGACGCCCTTCAAGAGTACCGTGCATGGCTCAAGGTTGTAAAGCCGTGGGATAATTAAAGTGACTTCCTTGAGCGGTTGCAGATTGAGCGGGAGTCGGTCTGATTTGACTATTTGGATAGGGATATTGAAAATCGTACCATCGGGAGTTTTAGAGAAATGTGGAATCCGGCCCATGCGTGCTTCGAGTTGGCGGACATCGGCTTCCCTCTTAGCTAAGGCGCCGGACCTTTGTTCAGTTGTCCAAGTTGGTGGACGCGGCGCGACGAATGTGGGCGGAGAAGGTGGAGGGCGAACCACCTCTGGCACAGAGTCAGGGACTTTGGGAATCTTTTCGGCATTCGCAATGATCTTAATTGTTTGGGCCTTTTCGGATGTCAAGAACTTCTCAAGCTTCTTGTCTAGCTCGTTCAACAACGCCAAAAGCGTCTTGTTTGGTGAGGATTCGGCAAGGCTGTCAAACCCCTTTTCGACGTTAATCTGGAAACCCCGGGCCATTTCGGCATTTGTGACTCTGATGGTTGGTTTGCCATTTTGAGGATAGGTTGTAGGGACTGTCAGAGTGCAGCGGAGGCCACGTTCAAGCTCGAATGGAAAATCTGGATCCGATGGGGCCAGTGCAAAGGACAAGGTTGTGCCATCGCTGGTGTCTCTCCGAACGGGAGAGAACCTCTTAATCACTTGACCCAGCTCGAACTCACGAGGATCGCGCCGTTGAAGCTGGGACTGGGGCTTCTGACTGGGAGCAGGGCCAGAGTTCGAGGCGCTGACTGGGCGAGACAAAGGCTGGCCGTCTTGTGCGACCGACGGGCCTTGCGCAGCGTCGGCCCGTTGATGGTCAGGTTTCGGTCTAGTGCTTGTGACTCTGTCTGGAGGCCGAAGGTGTTTGAACGGGCATTGCGAGCCAGCTCGACAACCTGGCACGGTGATTAGCTGCGTTATCACGTGAAATCATTTCCATGATGTCCAAGGTGATGATCCAGGGTACGACAGGGCCACTGATCTTGTGGCGAAGGCCAGGCAGGTATCAGAGAGAAGTGCCATGCATATCTCATTTAGGCTATTGGACAAATTGATTACATGGGCTGGACCAATGATAAAATTGGATGGTAAAAGACAAAAGAGAAATTACCTTTGTTTGTATTGAAAAAGCGACATACCCTTGGCTGTGATTGAGCCGGCGTAGGAGTGATTGGTGGTGAAGTTAGAGGATGTGGTTGATGCTGAATTTGGGTGCTGACACGGCTGGTGCCTGGACATTGGGCGCAATGCGCAATACGCGATCAGCAACTGGGGAACAACTCAGCAGTCAGATGATCGATGGGCAGTGTTTCATCGGCTGAACCATCGGCCCTCCGTCACTTGTTGCTAGGAAGGGATTCGATGCGGAGGCGCCTCGGGGGGTTGAGAGTGATGGGGGCGGGTTGGCCGGTGGCAATGTGGTTTTAGCCCGCGCAAACCAGGCAAGGCGAAGCTGGGCAAGGCAACAAAGGAGCTGCAGGCTTACTGAGGCTGGAGTCGTCAAGTGACATGCTGATTGATGAGTTGGCAAAACGCTGTTGTTCATTCATCAACAAAGGTTCCTTGATTTCAGTTTTTGGCCGGGCCAGATGATGGAACGGCTGCCAGGGTTAGCGAAGATGGTGCGCAGACCAAGCGCTGGTCCGGTTGTTGAGCTGGAGGGCAAGGACAACAGAAGGCGGATGACGAGCTTCCGAATCTGATCAAGGGCGATGGATGACGGGGGATGGGCAGCGATGTGGAACAAATCTAGACGTCGATCGGGGATGAGAGAGATGAAGGGGAAAACAGAAGCGAAGGGGAGGAAGGGAAAGTGATCAAGTGATGCCAAAGCGGCAAACTCACGACATGTCTAGCAGCAGCTTTTTACCTTTGGAATTGAGGATGTCCAGCGAGGGTGGATGTTGAGTCATTGATGGCTGTGGCAAGAGAAGAGTGTCGAGTCGAGTCACACTATGACTCTCCATATACAGAATGCAAGAGTCTCTACGACCACTCTATGAGGTGTTGAGGTACAAGTGAGGTACAAGTGAGGGATAAGTGAGGGATAAGTGAGGCAGAATGAAGAAACTCGGAATACGGGGAGTGACATCATTGCTAGGAAAACGATCCCCTGTGCGCCCGTCGGGGGTTGACTACAAGCCTAAGGTAATAATTACAACTCGTAGCTACTCGTACCTGTTCTCAGATAACTCCTTAGATCATCAATCATCTCTCTGGAATTCTTTCTTTGGGCTGGGATAAACTGCTGTGTCGTAAGGAATGTGTATCAGGACCAGAATTCCGTAAGTTTCGTCTGCCCTGGTTTGGTCCATTACGGAGGCCGTTGTCACATATTTTGTTATGGTGGTGATACATGTCCCAGGACTCCAAGGGACACTCGGGGTCCAACGTGACCATTTCTTTGCAAGCTACTGGCTCGCCTGGGTTAACCAAGTCACAGCCCACCTTGGGGGGGTTTTACCTGTACAGTGCTACCTGGCTAGTTAGATTAGTACCTATTTGTGCAGCCTACAGGGCCGCTCCGCCCTCCCCTTCGCCTCCCTCGCTTCCCCTGGGCGCCTCCACCCCCTTCTTAGGTACCTACATTGTAGGGAGACACACCCGCCCAGCCAACTTTGCCGCCCGCTCTAATCAACTAACCCCCAACCCGCCTACCTATCTTTGACTACTTCGCATAAGCAATATCATACGGAGGACTCTGATTGATATCACTTCCCGTCCATCAATCAAGTCGTCAATCAGGTCCTCAAGCTCCCAACTAGCCACTCTACTGGGCGTCTCACCTCCTTCCCACCCCCAAAAGTGCCAACAAATCTATGTCCACAGCCCCAACTCGGGTAACCAGATCGACTGCCTCGTTGAATCACCCGTTATTTTCTGCAACATTCCTTCTGATCTCAACGCCATTCGCCGGGCCCCCGGTTCCCTGTGGGAAATCCTATTACATTCTTCTTTTGGTGTGATGACCCTACCTAACCGTGGACCTGGCTGGATAGGCTATGTCTACATGTACTCGGTACGAGTATCGCTACCAAACCATCCCACGTGGAGCCTCACCCTTCGGGCCTCCCCTAGACCGCGCGCGCACAACACCCACAACACCCACACGATAGTGCGTCCATACCCATTTCCTCGGGATGCCTTAGTGCGGATCGACCATCACTGGGACTTGCATCTTCGGAAGCCAGCCATCGTGCCATCTCGACCACCTGGTTCGCTTGTTTCGAAAACCCCCCGTGGCCTGCAGCACGGAAGGTGCCGTTCCCGTTAGAAAGAGCTCGCCAGGCTCCACACCTTGATCACCCGTAACCTTGTCCCTCATCACCTTATTCTCTCCTTCCTCCTTCCTTCTTGTCGTCCTGGCTATCTGACCGTCAGTTGCAGTGGCGGATCATGGGATAGATTCACTAGCTCTTGCGCGAGGCCGGAGCCTTCGGTTTGGGCCCTAGCCATGATAACCTGCAGGGTCTCTCAATTAATAACTTGTTTGCCAAACGTATTGGAGATTGAGTCTCCTGACAAGGTGCATAGGTTGCTGTCCCATGCCCTCAAACGTCTGGTTGCATGAAGAACAGGTGCATACACATTCAACTGCATCCCAAAAAGCAATGCTCGTGAGTAGATCCAGACGATCTTCAACGACTCCAGGTATACGCGGGTTAAGATGCGGCGGCTTGATCCTTCGGACAAACCGGCTGATTCGTCATTGGGGGTGTACTTTCTTGATAGGCAACATGTTGCGACATACTTGACCGCCTGATTGTGCGCTCGCACCAGCATCACTCGGGTCCGAAATCAGAACACACCCCATGGCATTGAGCATGCTCCTGACTTGCCGGCTCACGACTTTGTTACTCGAACTGATGCTTTGAGCTCTCACAGAATTCCTCGGAGGTGTTACAGGGGCGCCTGATGTTTTCACATGCATTCGATTCCAAAAATGTCTCTCGAATTGACATTGCTGGTCTCGTTGCTGGGTCTGAACCCCTGAAGGCCAGTTGCATGATATTTTCATGTGCTTGACTTCGATACTTCAGGAGCCGAGAGATAAGATCTTGTCCGTGGTCTGTATCATTGGTAGGAGCAGGGCATCTCCGACGAACTTGCATCTGTACAAGGGCTCTTGCCTTGAGAGCTGAGGCACCAACCGACAGGGTATGCCTTGACCAAGCATTAGAAAGCGAACTCTTTTTCCATTCCTCGTCGATAAATGTGTAACAGACAATGCAACCATGGGATTGCAATATACCCAACATTGCCCAAGGGTTTTCACAAGAAGAAGGAGCTCTTCCCACATGTTCGGAGTCCCTGGATTACGCAGCCTCGCCCCAATGACTCGGGCCGAATCAGAAGTAAATTGTTCAAACTTTCGGCCAAGCAGAACTGTTCGTAACTTCGCTTCAAGTGTTGGCGTGGGCTTTCCACTTCCGTTCCCTGTTCGACGGCATCTTCGCTTGCTGGTGCTTGAATGAACACCGAAAGACCTTTCCAAGATTGGTCCCATCATCAATTTCGCAGCAGGCTTGTTCCCTGTCCCAACCTCCTCGCCTACTTCAAGCATAGGGTGTGCACCGTGCAGGACGCACAGCAATCCCCTCCTACTTAGTACTCCGTACTATGAGGGACTAACAAGGGAGATTCCTATCCCCCCTCCCGTCCCACATGAACCGGATCCATGGTTTTCAGACCTCCCACATGGCGCACGGCTCAATTACGCTTGGGTCGGCATCCCACATCAGAGTTGGCTCCAAAGGGTCCTTCCTTCCATTTAATTGCCAAAACAGGCAGTCCATCCAACGCAACCAACACTTACTGATAAAGATGGCGCAGGACTGGCTACGGAGTGGTGAATTCTGTAACAATAGCTGCATGATTACAGGGTCTATCGTGCCCGTTGCCTCATCAGCTTCGGAGGATTTCTCGGGGGGGTGTGGAGGTGGCATCTGCCCCGTTAGACCGTCGAATAGTGGCTGGCTTGCCTGGGTCGACGCTGTGTACATGGCAAGTGACCTAGTTACCTGTAAGTACCTTCCTTTTTCATGCAGTCACAGCTAAAAAATCACCGTCGCCGGCAAATTGCCCTGTTGAAACATGTTGGGCTGTCCTCGCCAGTCCCTCGTCCCACCTTTACACGTACGAGTAGTAACAGGTAATAATCGGAACTTCCAGAACCAGCCTGGACTTTTTGCTCCGTCGTCCTTGAATATCCACAAGTTTGCATACACGAGGAGCTGGTCATGCGTAACCCTGATGTCTCTGGCAGATCTCTACGGGTACAGAGGTACATGCGTCTCATGCCCCTATATTCCGATCCCCAACTACGGGCTCAAGGGCATCACGACCAAACCGTACAGGTTTTCCAGTTGCTCACGTTTGGTGTACATTGCCGAGTACTTGTGTTTGTTTGATGTCCCTTTTCTCTCTCCCCATGCAGTGACCAGGAGAATGCATGCCGCCCACAAACCGGTCTTCTTGAAGTCTGCGAGATATTCGGCTCGAACCACCCATAATTACCTATCCACTTCCACTAATGGTCCGTAATAGAGGAGCCGCGAGACTATGGACTTGAGGTTACATCCTTTCCCTCAAAGTTCCCGGAGGGGCGTGTGCTAACAAGACCAAATACACGAATACGACGGACAATGGGCACCGACATGGTCATGAGCTTGTCCAAATTTCCCATAAATCAACCGAACAGTGTAGCAAAAGTTCCCCTTTGAAATACTGGGGAAGCATGCCCGCTTTGGCAGAGGGTAAATGATCTCCCGTTACCCCACAGATTAACTAAATGCTTCGTGAGCGGGAGGCGACATAGCCCCCAATGCATGCCACAGCCTTCTGTCTCGTCGCGGAGTACCGGGCTCTTGGGATCGTCAATGGCTGTCTTATTGCTGCTTGTACAGGACTTGACATCTAACGGTCCGCTTGTATAAGTAA